CTATAGTAGGAACTGCCACGTCTTTCGTCGAAGCGACGGAGACGCCGTTCCCGCCTGCTTCCGGATGTAAGTCATCGCCGTTTGGTTGTCCATCTCTAGACGAACCACTTGGCCACGAAGCAGATCCGGGAAGCGTTGGAACACCAACCTGACCGCTCTCAGTTCTAGCACATTGATATGCAGTTTGATCTCCTGCTGGGACCATAGTCCCGAGGCAGTGTGATCATTCAGAACGCCTCCCCAGCCGGAGAGTGACGCGTCTGTTTGAACTGTGAGAGACGGAACGGGAGTGATTCCCGACCTCGGTCCACCACTGGAGGTGTGTAATGAGCCACTACGGAGTCTCGAGCACAGTCTCGAGATCTTCCGAGTTCGCCCAAAGTCGACGGAGTGCTTGTTGAATGGGACTCATTCTCAAGCGCGCCCGCCAGACCAAATCCACTGTCGCCGCCATGTTGTCCAGTAACTGGAGCCATGTACGAGCAGTGTGACTTGCGCTTAAGGGACTTGATATCTTGTGACAGAGATACACGTCCTCTCACCGTGTTGAAATTAGCCACTAGGAAGACTAGAATCTGAGTGGGGCTCAGATCTGACTTCTTGAGATTGACCATCCACCCTAGAGTGATCAGAATATCTATCACTTGTTGTGTAGCTATCTGACTCAGGGATTGCAATAGAGCTCTTAGTAACCAGTCGTCGAGGTACGGATGGCAGAACCGACCTTTTGACCTGGCCACTTGGGCGGGAATCAACATCAGCTTGGTGAACACCCTCGGGGCCGTGGAGATCCCGAATGGTAGAACCCGGAACTGATAACACCTCCCGTCGAAAGAAAACCTCAGGTATTTCTTGAACTCGGGGTGTATTGGTATGTGGAGATTGGCTAACGTCAATAGACTTAAAATATGCCTTTCTCCTGTCTCGACAGTTGAGATCACTGTTTGGTGACTAGGAAACAAGTCGAGTAGAAGCCCTCGCTTTCCTGTCCCTCGGGACCCGGTTCGATCGCAGCTTTCATAAGAAGTGCGTCGACCTCGGCACGGAGGAATTCCGCCTTCTCTCGGGTAGCAGGCACCGGAGTGTGCTTTATCCCGGAAAAGTGGAGGAGCGGATGAGTTTTCCCGATAACTTGCGACTGTGGGTTCACCCGGGGCTCTTCGGGCGCTAATGGGAACCCATCGTTCCCAGCCCCGCGAAAAAGCTGTTGGCCTCGACCAGCTGCCTTGCCCCGGCCCGTGCCTCTCTTGCTCCTCCCGGCGCCCTTATACCTGAAGGAAGCGGCGGCTTCCCAGCAGGTGTGGACGTCTGACCCGTGCGTTAGCGTAGGAGGGGACAATTGGAGAGGCCCGCTTACGCGGTTTTAACGCTTGGTACCTCCAACAAGGCCTTATGAGTCTTTGATGGAAGTATACAATTGAGCAGCCTCTCGGACCACCTGCTGAGCCCCAGGGAAGAGGGTGGCACCCTCTTATACGGCAAAGCAAGTAGGTCTTGGCGTGTGTAAGTCGAGTATTTAGATACCGACATCCACCGCCTGCGCATGCACATAACAGCGCACATCATCTGCGAGGCACAGCTACGAATAGCGTCCCGCGCAAGATAATGTTAGTTGCGCGGCCAACTCTGAAGAGTCGGCCGGCCCCTCTCCCGCTAACTCCCTCTGTACAGCCGACAGATACGCGGAGTGTACGGACACACGGAGCTGTTGGCATGCATTATGATATTGCTCCTCGAAGCATATGTAAGCAGCCTTCAACTCCGCACCGCACACGGGAAAGGGGGGGCAACCGCTGGCCCTGCTTGACCTTATTCAAGTTGGGTGTCTCCGACTCTGGCATGGGTGCAGCCACCTGAGGCAGTACATGGACAATCCTGTCCCGCAAGTGTCTCTGCACCCGGCCCGAGGCCGAGTCCCGGTGCCGAGGTGCCGGAGGTTCAAGGGAACCCACCTGGCACTGGGCTAGGTATCCACTAGTAAAAGCCTTGGCCTCGGAAGAGGCGTCTGGCTCCGCTAGGGAAAATTGTGCGTCGGTAGTGCACGGGCCGGTGCCCGCCACCACTACGCTGGGGAGTGACCTCGAGCCGGAGCCGAAGCTCGGTTTCGGATCGTCCCCGAGACAAAGGGAACCAACCTGGCTCCGGGCTAGGTATCCACTAGTGGAAGCCTCGGCCTCGGAAGAGGCGTCTGGCTCCGCTAGGGAAAATTGTGCGTCCATAGTGCACGGGCCGGTGCCCGCCACCACTACGCTGGGGAGCGACCTCGAGCCGGAGCCGAAGCTCGGTCTCGGATCGTCCCCGAGACAAAGGGAACCAACCTGGCTCCGGGCTAGGTATCCACTAGTGGACGCCTCGGCCTCGGAAGAGGCGTCTGGCTCCGCTAGGGATAAATTGTGCGTCGGTAGTGCACGGGCCGGCGCCCACCACCCCTCCGCTGGGGAGCGACCTCGAGCCGGCGCCGAAGCCCGGTCTGAGATCGTCCCCGAGACCAAGTTGCCTGCCTCGGCCGACGCCGGGCATATCACAAGGTCTCGAAGCCGCGTCCGGCGCCGACAACGGGGAAGGCTCGGTCCGCATCTCCTCTCGGAGCTGAGACTTTACCTCCTCCATCATCGACGCCATCTGCGACTTAAGTAACGCAGAAAAGTCTGCCAAAGGCAGTGCAGGAGAGGGTGCAGTGCTTACTACGGGGACCCTCGAGCCTTCTCCCCCGGCCCCCGGAGAGGGAGCGGGGGAGACAATCTCGGCAGCTTTTTTTACCCTTTTTAGATGGGGAGGGGGGGGGGGGGATGTCTTAGTAGATCTGATATCTACCCCCGCCTTTAATAGACCTCTTTAAAGTGGAACAAGTCAACTTGTCTCTTTTTGGGGGCCCCGGGGGGTAAAGGCAATGTCCTCCGCCAGACATATTAGGCAGCGTTCGTGCCTGTCTTAGAACAACCCGTACACAGTTTGAAGGTCTTGTAAACAAGACCGTAATTTCTGAGGTGGGCGGGAAGGGTATCAACGTGTATCAGTGCGATATAAAGATCGGAAAGAAACGTGCATAAATTGTGAAACTAGATACTAATAGCCAATGTCGTAGTATAATTATAACACCAAAGGGGCGTGTTACGCGCTAAGGTGTAAAAACCCGTAAAAAAGGTAAGTGTAGTTTATGAATTAACACACCACCTTGGGTTTTATAAAGGAAAAAATTGTAGACCAATGCTGTATGATATAACAAAACCCCAAGCCGTTTCTGTGTAACGCGATACTAATAGCCAATGTCGTAGTATAATTATAACACCAAAGGGGCGTGTTACGCGCTAAGGTGTAAAAACCCGTAAAAAAGGTAAGTGTAGTTTATGAATTAACACACCACCTTGGGTTTTATAAAGGAAAAAATTGTAGACCAATGCTGTATGATATAACAAAACCCCAAGCCGTTTCTTAATGGCCTTGGTGTTTTATGTATCAGCCCGTGGAACTACAATATGGACGCCATTACGGCCATTTGAATTCAAAGGTACCATGCACGTGGCGTATTATTACAACTCTATAACTTCACAATGCGAGGTATTACGCCTTTGCAATGAAAGAAATGTACCATACATACAGTTTGGTCAGCCATGGTTCTTGTCGAACGATAGATTTCTCTTATTTTTGTCTTGTGTGAAAAATCAACACGTCTGTCTCTTACAGATGACATAAGGAAAGTGATTTGGGTGAGAGTTGCTCCCCCTGGCGTGAGGCGCCGTTGGGGGTGAGGCCCCGTAAGGGTGGTCGTATATCATACAAAAACGAAGTTTTTTGTGTGGTAACATTTTTTATTAAGGAAAATGGTTACAACTATGTCATATAGATTTTCTTGAGCAAGGAAAATGCAATAAGTGCCCCAAGGAGGATTTAATCAGAAAGAGAATTCACTGTATGCATGACCGGATCCTTTTACACGTGTATCTAAATACATTTTGCCGGGGCTACGGTCAAACTTTTCCAAATCGGGCAGTTTGTACCTATCTCTAAATATCCACAGTGGGTACCCGGGTAGGGTAGGGTAATCGGGTAGTAAATTTGGACTCACCCCAGCCCTACTTTGTACAACGGCACCCAGGTCCACAACTATTCCACATTATTCAGCTCTTACAAATATTGAGTACTGACAACCTGTTCTGCCCTGAATTTTGTACATGTGTTAGGGATGAAAGTGATGCCATTGGGAATTTAAATAAGCTGAAATGGGAAAAAAAAAATATCTGTGACTAAATGCTTCCCATACAAGAGCTGGAATATTAAAGATAATCTGTTCAACATCCTGTAGCCAGTTCCAGTCTGGGTGTAAACATGTAAGAAGTGCCATACATGAACCTGACATATGACTACATGATTTTTTGGTTTGTTTGTTGTTTAACGCCGCACTCAGCAATATTCCAGCTATATGACGGCGGTCTGTAAATAATCGAGTATGGACCAGACAATCCAGTGAGCGTCGATCCACACAATTGGGATCGATGACATGCATCAACCAAGTCAGCGAGCCTGACCACCCGATCCCGTTAGTCGCCTTTTACGACAAGCATAGTTTACGGCAAGCATGGGTTGCTGAAGACCTATTCTACCCTGGAATCTTCACGGGTCTATCACTACATGACTAAAACTATCTTTTCAGTTATCGAGGGGCGGTGGGGTAGCCTAGTAGTAAAGCGTTCACTTGTCACGCCGAAGACCAGGGTTCGATTCCCCACATGGGTACTAAGCCCTTTTCTGGTGTTCCCCGCTGTGATATTGGTGGAACATTGCTAAAAGCGGCGTAGAACCTTACTCACTCACTCACTCACTCACTTATGGTAATAATCAAGTGCTAGATTAATATAAATCAAAGAAATCCAATTATTAGATGAACTAACTGGATGACTTGAACCAATCTTGCTTGATAAGGGACTGCCAACAGAACTAAGTCTATCCTCCCTTTGAACTTCCCCAGTGATTACTGTGGGTCTGTGTGTGGCAGAACTCACCTGTCTGTCTGTGGCTGTCGGGGTCTCTTTGTCGATGGAGTCATACAGGGCCTCGATGTCACCCTGGGTGGCAAGTAGAGGAGTTATAGCATGTAAACAGGAGCATTTGGCATTGAGATGAGATGAAATGTTTAAAAGTTGCGTTCAAGATCATTTCACCAATATAGCGATTCGAATGTTGCCGATTGTACTAGTCCAGACTTGCACACTAATATACCATGCTGCAGTTTTACATGCATACCTCACTCAAACACATTATACTAACCAGTCCTTGTTTTAACCCAAAATGCCAAATGCTAGGAATGGTAACAGCAAGTACCATCTTTTAATGTAGTTTAAAATGACACAACCAAGGTATCAAACCACTGACCTCCCAATCTACAGGCAGACAACCCCTCTTGTTCAGTGTGTTTGTTTTGTTTGCTTGTTCTTTAATGCCGCACTCAGCAATATTCCAGCTATATGACAGCGGTCTGTAAATAATCGAGTCTGGACCAGACAATCCAGCCATTGAAACCATGAGCATTGATCTACGCAATTGGGATACGATTACATGTATCAGCCTGACCACCCGATCCCGTCAGTCGCCTCTTACACAACAAGCACACACCTTATGGCAAGCATGGGTTGCTGAAGACCTATTCTAACCTGTGCCCCATTCCACAAAGTGATCTTAGTGCTTAGTTGGTAGTAACTCCCATACTCTGTCATAGGCTTAGGATCAACGTAGCACTAAGATCGCTTTGTGGAACCGGGCCCTGGATCTTAACAGGTCTGGGTCAGCATGTAAACAGGATCATTAAATCCTAAAACATATTATGGAGACATGCAGTACACAGATCATCATCAGGATCATTGACAAGAGCTTAGTTTCCTACCTCCACCTCCAGGAGAGCGGCCCAGACGTGAGCACGGACGAGGGGAGGGATGTCCACCCGGGCTTCCTGCCAGATGTGTGGCCGCTTGTACGGGTACGCTTTGAGTAGCCTCTCATACAGGATGATGCGGTGAAACTGGGGAGCAGCATTCCTAACTCATCTCAAACAATATATTCTAATTTGCATCCAGTATCTTCTGTCTTATATAAACTTGGCTTGCCTTAATTTCAGTTGCTAAGGATTATATTTGTCTTCCTTGGCAAAATATTTATCCAACTGCTCTTTCAATGTTGGGCCACTAATGCCATCCATTTTCCAATGGAGTAAAGTTAAAATACTTATGGGACATTCTACATTAAACAGAATCACTCACTGAACAAAACAAGACAGTCTGAGATTTTTAAGAAAATGAATGGGAATTTATGGATCCAAATCACACCCCTGCATGGAATGATTGTCGCATAACTCAATCAAACAGTGATGTTTATATTAACCTTCACAAAGAAATAATGCCATCATACTTCTAACATCAATACTTCAACACATCATGCTTTGCATTACACTCAAATATATACTACTCAATATTCCATAGGGATATTTCTGAACACATAAGGCTTAAAAAAATAAAAGAATTGGTTCTCTGGCATTGACTTTTCAACAAATAGTGCAGGCGGGCGGTATTTTATTTTTACGTTTGTTCAGACTAGTATGTAACCACGGACTTGTTATACAAGTCCGTGATGTCCGTGATGTAACCAAACAAACACTTGTGTACCATCAACCTGGTAAACGGCCTCCCTACATAAAGAAGCATACAAACACCTATTGGCGCCATGACCATAACACGAGATGTGCATTAAAGCAGTGTTCGGTGGCATGTATTCCCTGCATAGTAAGTTTGTGATTGAGTGAGTATGGTTTTACGCCGCTTTTAGCAATATTCCAGTAATATCAAGGCGGGGGACACCAGAAATGAGCTTCACACATTGTACCCATGTCTGGAATCGAACCCTGGTCTTAAGCATGACGAGCAGACGTTTTAACCACTAGGCTACCCGACTGCCCAAGTTTGTGATTGAGTAGGTGAGGTTAAACAAGGTTTGGACTGTATTTCAGCCTGTCTGCTTAATGTGGAAGGTATTCCTACAGCAGACATTTTAAAATTTAACACATGAGCATGGCTGTCAGATCAAGGAGTGAGTGAGTGAGTTGGGTTTAACGCTGCTTTTAATAGTATTCCAGTTATATCGCAGCGTGTCAGCTTAATGTGGGAGGAAAGCCCGAAGTGATGCAGGTCTCAGATGTTTACCACTTCGGTGAAACCCACGATCACGGGTATGGTGCTGACAAACCTAGAAACATAATCGGGGCGAACCGGGATTCAAACCCCCAATCATAGGTTTCTGGCGTGCCCAAGGGACGCAACTCTGCACAGCAAATCGTGGCGCCTTAGACGAGTGGGCCCCTTGTGCCCCCGTCAGATCAATGATCATAACAAGGCAACATTTCGGAGCCCTTTCACAAGATACGCTCTCACCTTCAAACATGATAGTCCTATACATGCTGTTCTTACCAATAATTACACTGAGTACTCCATTGCCTTTCAACTACATTATGTTGTTAATGAAATTATCTGAACTAAATTGTCAAATATCACGAGGCATCACCTGATACTCCACATCCTTCTCACGGATGACGAGAGGGAGGCTGGCAGTGTCAGTCAGATCACCGCTGCTTGGGGACGTCGGCAACCCAGCAGATGTCGTGCTTGACCTGACAAAACAATTACATGTCTTGCACAAGTATGACAGGTGAGGTGAAATGGAGTTTTACGTCGCATTCAAAATTATTTCACTCATATAGCAACCTGCATCCACGTATGAGTGTGGCTGCTTGTACTAGTCCACTCTTTTTATAGTGCTAGCCCAATGAGAAACCATGCTGCAGTTTAACATGAATAATATACTACTCAGACACAGTATACTGACTCCGAGCCGACTAGTCTTTGCTTTATCCTCTTAATGTGAATGCCAGGCAAGGAATAACAAGTTCCATCTTTAAATAATCTTTTGATACGATGCAGCCAGGGGATTAAATAAAGTCTGATATGATACACCACAATTTGGTGTTTGTCTTATACCACTTATTGACATCTCCATGTTGTCACTGTTGTGGTAACAGCAAGAGATATGAGGTTCTCTTTTCACGTCTATCACTGTAAATACTTCAACATTGTACAAGGGTGAAACTATCCGAATACTTCACGATGATATGCTGTTTGTTTGTTGTTTAACGCAGCACTCAGCAATATTCAAGCTATATGACTGCAGTCTGTAAATAACCGAGTTTGGACCTGGCAATCCAGTGATTGATATAATGAGCACCAATCCACCCAAATGGGATACGATGACATGCATCAACCAAGTCAGCGAGCCTGACCACCCGATCCCGTAAGTCGCCTCTTACGACAAGCATAGTTGCCTGTTGCGGCAAGAATGTGTTGCGGAAGACCTATTCTACCCTGGATATTCGCAGGTCCACAATGACATGCACATAGGTGTGTACAAGACAACTTACTCATCTTCCAGCAGGGGGTAATAGGCTGTCTCCTCGATGTCCTTGAGTCTCTGTGGCAGAAATAATGATTGATTCTAGAATCTAAAATGATTTAATCACAACAGATGTATGGAAATCTTGGCCTTCATTAATCCCTCATTTACAAACCTTGGTAGAACTGCAGGAAAATAATCTGTATTTTTTAAATATGATTGAGACAATATTCATAAAAATTCAACTTTTCCTTGTTTCTTGAGGTTGAAATAATAAGAACATTATAATCTGTCTAAAAGCTATTTTAATAATTTTCACACTGTATTAGAAACACAACCTTGCTTCTTATTTTACTTCAGCTAATGTTCCTAACACTATCATCACCTACATCCCTTACACTACCTAAATTTCTGAGTTATCTACCTTACACTTTCCATACCCAAGCTCCTTCCCAGAGCGTGACACCTTCGTTACACTCTCGGTAACATCGCTGCCATCAGTGTGGGCACGGCCATTACAAGAATCTTGAAATTTGGCCTCTAACCCCAAATGTAGTAATGTTCATACTTTTGTTTATGTCTTTGGGAATGCCATCATAGTGCATTTTGAAAAGGTTTACGACTGACCATGTTTTCCAGATGAATTTACTTTGTTGTTTTAATAATCAGATTGGTTCAAGATTGCAGACTAACGGAAAATCAACCAACTTCTCCCTTACATTCTTACTATATTAATAACACGATTGTTTTAATGAAACAGAAATTCATATTGACAAACAAAGAAAGAAATTTAGCAGCGATAAGTGTATTCAACGTCACGACAGTCGTCACTTGTTTTTAAACATAACGGTCATTCGGTTGCGAGTTCAACTCCAAGCATTGTTGGGGCCACCTATTCACAGTGGGGAGTTTTGACTGGTGGCAGCGATAGTATAGAGAGCTCCACGAATGGGCTATCGCTGTGAGGTGCTTGATCATCACCTACATCTCAGAGTTATCCCCTTTACACTACCTAAACGTCTGAGTTATCTAGATACCTTACACTATCAATGCCTAAGAGTTATCTCCCTTAAACTACCTACATTTCTGAGTTATCTACCTTACACTACCATCACCTACATTTCGGAGTTATCTCCCTTACACTAGCTACAATTCTGAATTATCTCCCTACTACTATTACACCTACATTTCTGAATTATCCCCCTACCACTATTACCACCTACATTTCGGAGCTGTTCCTGTGACAAGATGATGATGGTGTTGTCAAGAAGTTCTGCGTCGTCCCTCGGCTGGCCGTACACTTCCCCCTCGGGACTAACATAACTGAACACAGAGAGGTACAGACTTTATTATTACCTACCATACAATCTAGCTTGACCAGTCAGTGTTTTCATACAATACAAGTTGTATGGCTTGCCAGTACAGACGTCGTGACGTCGGAAGTGATATGCTTGTCATGTCGCAACTGAACCTGTTTGCACTTGGAGTTACCATACTGAGAGTCTTTTGGTTGTCACAAAATCAATCTAATATCACAGAAAAAATATTTCACTGAAAAAAGATCTTTGTAACCATTGTAACTTTAGTCTCTGTGAAATCATTATGTTTTATAACCTGTACAAAAACACATACTTTGAAAAATAGGTTGACGTCACGAGAATAATTTATTACCTTTATAGGCGGGTTATACAAATTAGCATCAATTATGAAGGCCTTTTCATTGGGTTCGCCTAATAGGGGGTGGTCGCTTTATAGACTGCGTTATACGGTATTTCTTAATATCCACACAAAGATGTTTCTCCTCATTAACACTAAACATATTGTTTCTTTCATTTCCCAGCAATACACGTTTTTCATTTTTAATGACACAGGAACGTTTTTTCATACCAAGGCAGTAAAGTGATGGGAGGGTTGGTCTTGATGAGGCCGGCTTTCCGCAGCGCCATCTCAAGGTCGCCACCTGCGAGTCGCCACAAGTAGTAAACCTCCTCCATGCTTCTCTCCGACAAATGGTCGTCACATAAATCTACAGTATTCAGTCCAAAGGTCCATGATACATCATTTCTCATGTTGCATAAAAATAAGTTTGCTATCATCATATATAGAATGTCAAACTCAGAAATACATTGAACTGTCAACAGAGAATTAATGCTATGATCGTGATAGTAGCCCATGGTACAACATTTATTCACTTGGGACCAAGGCAGTAAAGTGATGGGAGGGTTGGTCTTGATGAGGCCGGCTTTCCGCAGCGCCATCTCAAGGTCGCCACCTGCGAGTCGCCACAAGTAGTAAACCTCCTCCATGCTTCTCTCCGACAAATGGTCGTCACATAAATCTACAGTATTCAGTCCAAAGGTCCATGATACATCATTTCTCATGTTGCATAAAAATAAGTTTGCTATCATCATATATAGAATGTCAAACTCAGAAATACATTGAACTGTCAACAGAGAATTAATGCTATGATCGTGATAGTAGCCCATGGTACAACATTTATTCACTTGGGACAGAGGAGCGGTGCGATAGTCTAGCGGTTAAAGCGTTTGCTCGTCACGCTGGAGACCCGGGTTCGATTCCCCACATGGGTATAATATGTGAAATCAATTTCTGGTGTCACCTGCGATGATTCTGTGTAATATTGCTAAAAGCGGCATAAAACCACACTCACTCACTCACTCACTCACTCACTAGGGACAGATAATTGATAATCCCTCATATTTTTCTAAAATTAATGAATCTTAGAATATAAAGCAGCAACACAGACCATTCATGTTACCATCCTCATTGAGCACGGGCAACTCCAGGTCTGCACATCGCAGGTTGGCAGTGAACAGAGAGTAGCCATTCTTGTACGGGATCTGTAGCCAAGACAACACAAGTCAAGCACCATACAACAACATTATACTGTGGCCTCTATATTTTATATTGACTTTAAAATTCATTTTCTTATCTTCAAAAGGGCCACCCTAATAACAGGCGATTCATCCTACATGCCACAAAATAATCCTATCAAGTGATATACTTTCAAAACGACATGAATGACAAAGCTGGGTGTTTGTTTAGAAAGGGAACCTAACCCTAATGATTGTCGAGGGTGATTGAGCGGAAAAAGGATCCCAAGAACTAAGAACGGTGTCAGTGATAACCTACCCTAACACAACTAACCCTACGGACTGATTTGTTTGTCAGTTTGTTTGTTTGTTTGTTTGTTGTTTAATGCAGCACTCAGCAATATTCCAGCTATATGACGGCGGTCTGTAAATAATTGAGTCTGGACCAGACAATCCAGTGACTGACATCATGAGCATCGATCCACACAATTGGGACACCATGGCATGCATCAACCAGGCCGCGAGTCTGACCACCCAATCCTGTTAGTCTCCTCTTACGACAAGCATAGTCGCTTTTTATGGCCAGCATGGGTTGCTGAGGACCTATTCTACCCTGGATCTTCATGGGTCCCTACGGATTCAGGAGGACTGCAACACCGGTAAAGCGAGAGCCACAACCAGCAGTCAGTTCAATGTAATATAACTGCACCCCTAAATTCATATGTGTCTTGGTCATTGATCTTGATCTATCAATATCTGTCTGTGTTATTGCCTGAAATGTGCCTCACACAAGTCTCAACTTGGTCATATTGCCATTGACCTTACTATTGGGGAAAATGTTTCCTAGGTCAGATATTTGCCATGAATATTCACCTCTTTCAAGCGTAAATCTCGTAGGAATGGATGCTTTCTTAAATCAGATGGACTTGGTCTGAAAGAGAAGCATGAAGTTACCTACATGCTGTTCACATCCACACAGAAAAGATAGATATAATTATATCTGATGCATCAAAGGTATCAGTAATAACATTTAGAGAAGCAAGTATGTAGGGCTGGGATCGGTAATTCAGGTACTTGGGTTGGGTGGATACTGAGAAGGACCCAGGTACCTACAGGACTACCCAGACCCATGGTTAATCATGTGATATGTAGTTTACAGTAAAAAAATCACTATATCTCCATGGTTACAGACAAGTTACTATTGTTTTCATTTCTTTCTGAGTATGCAGCGAGTGAGTGAGTGGGTATGGTTTTAGCAATATTCCAGCAATATCACGGTGGGGGACCGCAGAAATGAGCTTCACACATTGTACCCATCTGAGTATGCAGAGGTATTGAGGTAGCCTAGTTGTTAAAGCGTTCGGTCATCACACTGAAAACCTGGGTTCGATTCCCCAAATTGGTACATTGTGTGGTGTCCCTGCTTGGATATTGCTGGAATATTACTAAAAGTGACGTAAAACCATACTCACTCACTCACTCACTGAGTATGCACGCATTCACTTTTAGATGTTTCAATAAGGAATAGCTTCAGTCAACTTCAGTCTATAAATGAACAGATCCTTTTATATGTGTATCCAAATATTTCATGCAAAGGCTCCAGTAAAAAATTCCCAATTTGACATTTTGTACGCAACTCTTGAGACTTACTGCAATACCAAGGTAGGGTCAGGCAATACGGGCTCGGGTACCAAGGTAGTAAATATGAACTCATCCCATCCCTACAAGCATGACAAGACAAAACTACTTATCAAACAATAAAAAGATTAGTTTCAGGTATTGAGGAATTCTCACCGTTTGGATGGCAACAGTGTCAAACACAGACGAAGAAAGTCTAAACCATCCTTGGAAAGTTCCTGAAAATAGAAACAAATACATAACTTATCTATCAACTGTTACGATTTGTATATACTATACATCCTTGATTAATGCCTGTCCTGATGGCTGTCTTATAGAGCTGGGACGGGTAACTCGGGTACTCGGGTCGGGTGGGTCCTGAGTAGGACCCGGGTACCCACAGGACTACCAGGACCCGTGGTTAGTCATGTGATATATTGTTTAATGACAAAAACTCAGAATAGCTCAGTGGTTACACTACAAGTCGCTAATGTTCGCATTTTTATCTGACAATGCACACATTCCTTTTGACTTGTATATATTTGAGAAAAGATAAATCTTCAGTCAACTTCATTGAACGCGTGATCTAATTAGTTTAGCTAAGGCTGCAGTAAAACAATTACCAATCTGACATTTTGTTCCCTACTCTTGAGACTTGCAGTGGGTACCCGCGTAGGGTCGGGTAATAGAAGGTCGGGTACCCGGGTAGTAAATTTGGACTCGTCCAAGCCCTACTGTCTTAGATATACACAGGGCTACTGAGAGCATGTGAGTTGGGCTCAAAGCTGCTTTATAAGCAGTATTCAGTTCTATCACTGCCAACCTGTGAAGATCCAACGTAGAATGGGTCTTCAGCAACCAATGCTTGCCGTAAAAGGCGACTATGGTTGTCATAAGAGGCGACTAATAGGATCGGGTGGTCAGGCTCGCTGACTTGGTTGATGCATGTCATCGATTCCAATTGCATGGATCGATGTTCATGATATTAATCACTGGATTGTCTGGTCCAGACTCGATTATTTACAGACTGCCATCATATAGCTGGAATATTGCTGACAAACAAACAAACTTTCGCTGCTTCTCAGCATCATGTGTGTGGACAGCCGAATAAGATGCAGGTTTTAAACATTGACTACTTTGGTGATACCCATGAGCACATAGTTGGTGCAGACAAACCAAGGATCTAATTAGGGTGAATCTTTCAATCCCGCAATTGAAGGATTCTGCCATGCTTAATGGAAGCAACTCTGGACAGGGATTACACAGAATAACATATCGGTAATAATGTAGTTCAACCCCTGATCTATTGTCTGAAGAAATGGGTGTATATGCTCAGTACTCACATGGAGTTTTTTCTCTATGCCCTGGTCCTGTGCTATCACATCTAGAGGGTCCATGTCTGGAAAACGCCATGTTGACAGGACATCATGGATGTATAATACAACTTACACAGTAATGTTTCAAGAACACGCAAGCATTGACATAAAACATTCTGGGCTACAGAAACTCAAAAACTTATAATATTGTGAAGTTTAATGATACATCTTTCTCATTGGATGATAGGGTGGTCACATGACTATGAGACTAACATTCATAATTGTGTGAACAGTACATTTCGACGGTCACATGATTTTTTTTATGAGACTGTCATTTAGGCGTAAACACTGTCAGACGACTTCCACATTCTTGGGAAAACCCATGGAAATTTCCTAGCATCAATAGATTCATGATATTTGTTAATAATCATTTGGACACTTTCGTTTTTTCCTCAGGGATTTTGCATACTTTGGAAAAGATCACATGTTCAGTGACAAGGCATTTGAAATCTCTCCCATCACATTGTTCATGTTGAACAAAATCAGTTAATTTTCATAATGCTTTCAGTCATGATGTAGCATCTTACTCAACTTCTTTGGATAACATGTATTTCCAGTGTATGTTGGTAATAATTCAGTACGTTGACATGAGGTACTCAATGTACTCACTGGAATCTAGAAGCCTTAACACCTTCTGAAAAATGTGTTCCACTGGTAAGTTTTCCCACAACTCTTTTCCCTGAAAGATGAATAATGATTTATCTCATCAAAAGATTAAATTGAAAGTAGCAAACAGGGTATTGGGTAAATAAAAACAAGGCAATGTTTCTTGGGAATCAGTGAGTCACTTTATATCCTGTGAACCAGTCACTTTTCTTGCCAATAAATCCTCGATATTTTTCAATCTGATTCGATTGGTGCGTCACAGGTATCAAATCACAATAACCCCCTCTAATTGAAACAGTTGATTTGACTGACGTCTTATCTGAGGCAGTGTTTATACAGTTGGGTAGATTGGAATGGAGTTACACTGGAGTGGAGAAGTCTGTTATGTACACTCCAGTGTAACTACACCCCAACCTACTCAACTGTATAAACACTGCCTCCTACCAGTATATATACTTGTTAACCATACTCTGTACCTCACTTGCTTGATAACGGTTTTAGAGCCTACACCGAAACGTCACTTCTAATTGTAATCCATATATCTTATCCTTACTCAGTACTCCAACTCTCTAAATGGCTCTCAAAGAAGCTATTATAAGGATGAAGCCCCCCCTACCGTGAAGGCCTCCATGAGGATAATGCCGAGTGACCATGTGTCCACCTTGAAGCAGGACAGCGGCTGGACACTCGTCTCACAGGTGTCGTCCGTCTCTGTGGGGCCTCCACACAGTGTCTCCGGGGCCATGTATTTGAGCTGACTGAACGGCAGAAGGATGGAAACAGTATTACAGAATCAATCGATTTGAATGAAATAATACTTTGAATATGAACAAACTGCCCTTCACCGACTTGATTATCTTCCAACTTCTAAATGCCTATCATAGACTTGATTATCTTCCAACTTCTAAATGCCTATCATAGACTTGATTATCTTCCAACTTCTAAATGCCTATCACAGACTTGATTATCTTCCAACTTCTAAATGCCTATCATAGACTTGATTATCTTCCACCTTCTAAATGCCTATCATAGACTTGATTATCTTCCAACTTCTAAATGCCTATCACAGACCTGATTATCTTCCAACTTCTAAATGCCTATCATAGACTTGATTATCTTCCAACTTCTAAATGCCTATCATAGACTTGATTATCTTCCAACTTCTAAATGCCTATCATAGACTTGATTATCTTCCAACTTCTAAATGCCTATCATAGACTTGATTATCTTCCAACTTCTAAATGCCTATCACAGACCTGATTATCTTCCAACTTCTAAATGCCTATCATAGACTTGATTATCTTCCAACTTCTAAATGCCTATCACAGATTTGGTCCCTTAAGCAACTTTCATCCATCCCTAAACAGTTAAACCTATTGAAATGGCTGATGAAGGCCCGATCTCTCACCCGATGGGGAATGACACGGATGTGCTGGCATCTGTCATGTAGTACATTCCATATTCTGACAGCTTCACCTTCCCCTGAAAGAGGGACACACAATATTAACGGCTAAATGATGATTAGAATAAAGAAAATATTAAAAAATTACTGATTCTTCCTTTTTTGATAACTGAAGTTACTCCTATCAGTACTTTCTGTGAATGCAGAATAATTATGAAATAAGATCACATTTGTTAATAATCATAATCAATCATAATTAAGAAAGCAACAAAGGTGGATCCAGGATTTTGAAAAAGAATATTCACCCATGTTACTCAGTGAACAAAAAGAACTGAAAGGAAAATGGAGACTGTGCGCCCCTTCTGAGTGAGTGAGTGAGTATGATTTTACGCCGCTTTTAGCAATATTCCAGCAATATCACGGCGGGGGACACCAGAAATGGGCTTTACACATTGTACCCATGTCGGGAATCGAACCTGGGTCTTCTGTGTGACGAGCGAACGCTTTAACCAATAGGCTACCCGACCGCCCCTCGCCCCTTCTGAAATTGCTGTGAATAATAATGAACAACAACAGATAATTTATATTTGATTAGGTTCTCCCTCAAGGCCTTATCAATAAATTTATCAATGACATGTTGTTAGGTAACTGTGATCTATGACTGCTACTGACTTGAGAGGTAAAGAGGATGTTGTGTAGAGCAAGGTTGCGGTGTGTCACACCTCGACCGTTCAGATACTCCAACCCTTGTAGAATTTCAAATATCAGTGGCGAAAGGGTGGCTTCACTGAAAAAAAACATCATTTAGTAATGCAGAGATATTTTTTTTAAATAAAACAACTAGATCATACTAAACAAAAATATTATTATAAATACCTCCGTCCCCACCCCCTGTGATAAAATACTACAAGTAAACCCAACTTTAAAAAAAATATAAAAACATGGTCATAGATATCCTTGTCAAATCTTTATGAAATATGTTTGCACTGACTAAAGGGTTGCATGCAATATTGTGTAATATGACAAATATAAGCTTAAATAGCAATCAAATTTTACACATCAACTCTTCATTTAATGATGCAATAAACATGGAAATTCTTATATCAGTAGAAAATGTAATTGTCAAAAAAAAGATAAGAAGTAATAAAAATATCAATCAATTTTCGATCACGAACATCAATACTACTTAATTTCGTTTATCCGATATACTCGTTAATCCGATATAATCACAAGCAACCAACTCTGTCGGATAAACGGGAATTAGCAGAATTAAAGACATAGTTCTTCTTACATATATTTCTTTTCATTTTTAATGCATTGGTACCTTACCTGGAAAATTTCCCAGTTTGGAACACTTTGGCCAAATTTTCTGTGTAGTGTTCTGATACCACAATCAGTCTCTCTGGAACAGGGACATGTGGTCAATATAAATTCTAGTGCTGTAACACTACAGGGGTACAGTATTGTATCCCGATACACATCCCATGATACAATACTTCAATTTACAACCCCTGTACCGCAATACATACCTTACATTACAAGTGATATTTGTGTAAAAACAATAAAAATGATAATAGGAAGTGTTCAATAACCAGCTAACACAAATTGTTTCATATTTCCTGGTTGGCTCAATCTCATCAGATCTAAGTTCTCGCTGCTGCTAAAAAAGATCTGAGGACATCCCATTACGGGTCACATCAGAACGACATTTCGCGAACTTTGACCAACCACTGAAATGACAAACGTCAGCCAATTAGAAAGCAGCTTTCTCGAGCTTTACGGTACTTGTTCAACCTGGCGACTTCCATTTCAGAATACGCTTGAAAAATATGTTGGCACAGTTCTCGATTAAAATTTTGAAAACTGAACAAACAAACATTCCGGAATGTCTAATATATGGTTGAAATTGTATGACAGTACTTCCCATGTACTGTGCAATGCCTCCTCCGTTCAAATGTTTGACCCACGGAAGCGAGAGATAAACGATAATTTTGACGGAATCAGTCATACGGGCCATAACTGTTGTTTGGAATACCCCGTGTTAACGTTTTCAAGGTTGCATGATGAAAAAACACATTCCGAATGTCACTTTCATGATCTGGTAAGCGACGCTTTGATTGGTTGGATGAAAGGTCATTCTGACGTGAACCGTAATGGGATGTCCTCAGATCTTTGTTTAGCGATAGCGAGAACTTAGACAGATGTATCGTCCCAGCCCTAAAATTTACCCACTTACCGGTATCTCAAATTCAAGACAAAAAGACACAAAGCAATCTCGAAAAATGGACTCGGTCCCAACTGTGATTTTACCATGGAATTTCTTACCTTTAGTTCGAAGTTGCCATTTGACACATTAACAGTTTTGAAAAGCGCAGAAATGCACCTCACATAGTGGTGAGCACTTCTCCTTGTTACATGTATATCCAGCATCTTTCCTCACACATGTAACACTACTGTAAACCGTAGTGGTGTAACGATACATCGAACTATCGATTGATTGCGATTGCTTGTCTCACGATAGTACACTATCGATTGCAACTTGAAACAATCGATACTATTGGCGATAGTTTGTCTAACTATCGATAGTTTCGATAGTTAATTTGTTTGGTTCCTTGATATGTTGATAGTTTGTATAGTCAAATACTAGTCATTCAATCACATTCATTCACATTGGTGCTAAAACACTGCAGTAACCTAAGACTTTACCAGTTACATGAAGTGAAATTTTGTATTAAATGTTTTTGAGAGGTCAATTTGAACTTGTTTTCTTTTCATTTCTTGTTTTCTTTACAATTAGTATCAGAAAGTTATAATTATTTTGATGGTGTCAGTCAAAATGCTGAAATATATGCTGCAAAAGCCTGCTATAATTGCAAGTGAAAACTATCGCAATAGTATCGCAATAGTAGGGCCACTATCACAATAGTATCGCAATAGTTGTTTTAACTATCGCAATATCATCGCAATAGTCAAAAATGCCTCAATAGTCACCCTTAGTAAACCGTACTGTGCAATTTGAACAAACTAAAGGAATCAAAGTAGCATGACACTACTCCCAATATTCAAGTAGTGAAAAATAAAGCTTGAGGTTAGAGTGACACTGTTGTTTTTGTCCATTTGATGGACTGTCACTGAGGAGTGAGGATACAAATTTCAAAGCGCTTGCTACCTTGTCTAACCTAGTTACATACACAGAAGCAAGTGACTATAAATGCAAACAGACATCAGTAACTGACTTTTTCCATAAGAAACATATTCAACTTCTTGTAACTACTGTACGATGATCATGTGCCACTCACTTTTTTCCTGACTTCTGATACACAAAATAAGGTAGATGTACGCCTTTTGTTAATCCTAAATGTATATTTAATTCCACTGTACATGATTTGTCACAATTCCCATTGATGATTGCCAGCGAAATACACTTCAATTTGTCACCCCATACCCATGTTGTGTTCGTATTGTCCTGTAAATGCAATCGTACATGCGATTGATCTTACTACTGTTACTTGATCAGGTCTGGACTTCCATGCCTTGTTATCTCAAATGTTCTTATATATCAGTGTTACAACACAGTCCCACTAAGTTTGAGGATTCAACTGTAAATAGGAATATTACCGTATTCGACGTAATAAGTGCTCCGTTTCTAATAACCACCCATGATGATATTTGCTAATATATTGGCTAGTGAACTATCCCAATTAGCACCCTTTCAGATTGATCAATGTACGCAAGACTTATTTATTTGTGTATAATACGCACTTGTGTGTTGTATGCACCCTTAATTATGGGCAATTAAATTCTAAAAAATATATCTATTGTGTATAATACGCACAGATTCTTCTTTTAAATCATTTCAGGCTGTCAGCATAAACCACTAAATTTACAATCTTTCAACTCTGTTTTTTATCTCACCAAAATTATATTCTAATAAGAGCCCCCTATTTCTAATTTTGAGAGCACCCTAGGTGCTTATTATGCTTATTAATTGTTTTGTCTAGTCAAGTGACTATGGTTTTGTGTTGCTAGCAATAGTCAAGGAATATCATGACAGAAACACTAAGAATATTGCAGTAGGCTTCAGCATTGTACAATGTGGAAAATAGAACCAACAAGTAAATGTTCCAAACACTAGGCTACCCTATCTTACCCTCATTACATAGATCTATATCGCATAGCTCCCCATAGTTAACTGGACAAGACGACATATTTTGATATTTTTAGCCTTGTCATGATGTAAAGACATGTATATATGTACTAACAACAAGAAATTCAATATCCACCTACCATTTTTGGTTTTAACTATATCCAGATACTTGCAAACAGCAGGATGCTCAAATGTTTTTAGGTACTGGAAGCGTCCAAGGACTTTTATGGAGTTTGGTGTGAGCGGCAGGCCATTGGCACCACATTTGTCATTTGGATGACTTGCCGCAAAGAATGTTGAAACTCCAAATTCGGCTTCACCTAACCTACTCATGGTTGTACTATGTTATGAAACTCTTGTGGATCCTGGTACAACCTGCAATCAAAGTAAAAAGAACCATCTCAATACTTTTACTGCACTTGTAACTGCCTAAAAACTAAAATGTGTGCAAAAACCTGTAGCCTTAATATTGATATTTTCAGCATTTGTTGTCATTTAAGAATCTAAACATATTTTCTTGAGATATAACGTGTAAACTTTTATTGAAAGACGTACAACAATTAGGTATTGACAGTTAGGTCTACTATGGATTCTGAACAAGAAAAATAGCAATGGTAAACTGAACCTCTGAAGTGTTTGACAACAACTACCTGTCTTTGAAATACACAAAAACATGAATGACCTAAGCGTACAATGACCGGCATCAGCTGACTCTGACATGAGCTGATGCACAATAGGAGAGATAAAATAATATTTAACAAATCACCTCCAGCGATGTGTAACAAATGACATACTTGGACAAAAACACTGTGACATTCTACGATAGTAAACAAACACAATTGAAATATCTTACACGAATAAACTTGCTCAAATGCACACATTTCAAGGTAGACAAAAAAATTCACACCCCTTTCCCGGAACTCAGTTATCTCCCTTGAATACCTCTTTTGCGGAAAAGCTTAACAAAGTTTTACTTCCTGTTGAAACACAAGGAAAGAACGCACGTTGGCAGTTTAGGTTGTGTACAGCTGTTTCATGAGACTTCTTTTATTGAAGTAATGTGAAATTTATTTGTAATCATGGGTTATCAAATATAATCAAGAAACTAATAGTGCTCTGACATGTCGTGTAGTGTCTGAGATGACATGATATTGCATAGTTGACCAAGTAATATTTAGCTGTCATCTACACCGTACGCCGAACATATGACGAAATAAATAATGACGCACGAAAATAACTGTCACTGTCACACCGAAATGAAATTCCGAATACTTTGTTCGGAACTGAAGTTTTTAAACTTCCTTGCATTTGCCAATAGTCGATAGCCTTGAAGTTCAGTCACAGTCTATTTGTTTAACAAATAGGGTACAGGCTAAAACCACCTCAGCGAAACGTCACCGATTTCATCTGGCGAAAACGGCTACTGCAGTTCAAGCGAATATGACACCTTATGTTTATAATAGAGATTAAAAACTTTTATGTGGTAGTATTTAGGTTTGTAGATGTTCTCTAGCGCCTGTTCCTATACCAAAAATATAGGGCAATCAATTGCTCTTAGATAACAGCTAAATCACTCGTAACTGTACTTGTAACAACACTATTAATTAATATCATCTTATACATTTCAGAGTACAATAACACTCATTAATTGTATCAATGTTAATTAATAACACTTTACCTCAACTCGCAGATTTATTATAGATTTCTTAATAGATTTTTTTAATACCTATTGTAAATACTTATACAATATCTTCATCTTACAAACCTAAAGCTGATTCCGAAATGCTTTATACCTAAATAACTACCTTGACACAAAGCCAATGTGTCCACTGGTCTCATTCATCACATGATACTGTTTTCTCACATTTTCATAATTATTTGTGTTTGCATGTTAACCTGTGAGTTTTATTTCATTTATAGCTTGTTATTAAAAACCGAGGTAAGATATATATGGTGCCACTTTTGCTTTGGGTGAGGTTCCATTTTCGCCTGTCAGTGCCGTTTTCACTCCGTGACATTTTGCTGAGATACCGTTTTAGCTATAGACCAACACTTAACTCATCATTCATCTTACAATAGTTTGGTTTCTTAAAATAATTAAAACAAACATATTTTCAGAGGTCCTTGACCTACCATGTCACTATGATATGCAGAGTTTGTCCATCCATTAAAGATTAGGCCTGTCAACATGGTCAAAATACATTTCTTGTTTAAAATGATCAGTACAAGGATTGCCCCCACCCGAAATTTGTTTTTTATATTTCTAAGAACTGTTAACATGGTTAAGAATGACTGTTTCAAAGGAATATTATTTTTTGCGCACACCAAGTCCTTTTTGGTCTCCTGTCCCTCGAACATGCTTTTGTGCCACAGGCAGCATGGCCAAAAGACGAGGTGGTTCATTTGTTTTTACATAGCAGCTGATTACAGGTGTATTTTGTTGTTTTGTCTATGCATTTGTAACCTACTGGAGAAATAACATGAAAATAGATATCCTCTTTTTTTACCCAGTATGTTTTGACACAAGTCCAGGGAAACAAGTAATTATTAACTCGACATAAGTGAAATAAGTGGAATTAAAATATGACTCTGAATTTGATTTAAATATGGACGTTCCAAGGTAGAAATAAGGTGTAATCCCACATAAATTTTTTATCGGCTTTTTCAGGATGGCCTCGTCTTTGTCTCCTGAAGTTATTCAGCGAATGAAAGTTCGAAGTGATCAAGCTGAGACTATCCTGACACAGTTGCGGAATCAGATCAACCTCCTCAAGGCAGCAGCAGGTAGAAGTCATTGAGATGATGGGGGATATAACTAGATTGGAATGTTTTACAATTTTGACAGTGATAGTATGAACAAAAAACATGTTTGTGTCCAACAATCAACAATGATAACCGAATAATATGTCACCGACTGAGGATCCCTAAATTTTGATGTACACATAGCACATTTTTTCACTCAAATTTTGTTTACAGGAAGTAAAAACTCCGTTTGTTCTTAGTTGAAGGAACCAACTTTCATACATATATTACCATACTTCATAACCCATGAAGATCCAGGCTAGAATAGGTCTTCAGCAAACCATGCTTGCCGCAACAGGCAAGTATGCTTGTTGTAAGAGGCAACTAACGGGATCATTTTGTCAGGCTCACTGACATGGTTAATGCATGTCAATGTATCCCAATTGTGTTGATCAGTGCTCAAGATTTTGATCACTCGATTGTCTGGTCCAGACTCGATTATTAACAGACCGCCATCATATGGCTGGAATATTGCTGAGTGCAGCGTAAAACAGCAAACAAACTGACAAACAAACATACTTCATATAAATATGTATGACATAACTATTTTCATTCTGCATAGTTAGTAGCTGGAATATATTTTGGCTAGTCCAATTATAAGTTAACAACTGTCTATGGACAGCTCTGTACATGATAATATCTATGTTACAGTGTCCCAGTCCTGCAAAGGAGAGGAAGATGTCTTGAGACAACAAAACGAGAAGTTGAGAAATGAAATAAATCAGATCAAGACCCAGCTTGTCATGGCAGAAATAAGAAATGGAGGTTTGTTATGTTAATGATTAATAACTATCTTCATCAACATAAACATAACTATATTTTCTGTTCGATGACCATTTTGTGGTAATGTTGTATGAAGTGATTGAAGAAACTTGTAATATTTGCGTGTAAAAATACTCCTAACATTACAGTGAGACAAGTTGCCCTCCCCCCAAAGAGAGCAATGTCAACAAATGCAGGAGAGGGTAGTGCTGCCCCACCCCAAGCAGCTAGCCCCGCCCCTGAAGCAGCAGCTGCCCCTGCCCCAGCAAAGGTGAAGAAGGGTGACAAACAAGAGAAAAAGAAACCAGAAAAGAAAGAAGGTGGGTCCACTCTAAAAGCATCACGAAATACGATAGTGAAATTAACATCATGAGCATCGATCCACACAATTGGGATACAGTGACATGCATCAACCAAGTCAGCGACCCTGACCACCTGACCCGACAAGCAGAGTTGCCTTTTACGGCAAGCATGGGTTGCTGAAGACCTGTTCTAACCAGGATCTTCACAGGTCCATTATGGTAATGCTTTTTTTTTTTTAAATTTGCTCCCCGATGTTGAAACTGTAGGAAATAGATTATCTAATACATTATTTCTGTCTGATGTTCAATGAAAACAAGGTTCTCATAATGTTAGATATAGGGAAGGATACATGAATATATTTCACTGGGATATTGGTGACCACTCTGTATGATATGAAATTATTGAGAGGGATACTGATTACTGGCATGATTTAAACTGTTACACAACTTAAAACAGAAACAAAGGGAATGCTATATAACACACTTATTATTGGTAATGATGCTGAAAATGAGTCAGTTCCAAAGCAATATTAAATGCTATTTGTATGATATGTTCTTGCTGTGATGAGTAACATTCAGTCCCAGCCTGGACACTGGAAAAGCAAAGGTCGAGTAGGACATATGCATGTATTGATATGGGATAGAAATATTTAGAATACCATTTTCCACAGTCTTGCAGTAATTGTGGGCACACCTTGCTTGATTATTACATCACAAACCCAGGGGCGGTGGGGTAGCCAAGTGGTTAAAGCATTCGCAAAAGACTTGGGTTAGATCCCCCACACGGGTACAATGTGTGAAGCCCATTTCTGGTGTCCCCTGCCATGATATTGCTGGAATATTGCTAAAAGTGGCATAAAACCAAACTCACTCAACTCACATCAAGTTTTCCCAATGGTATTCCTCGTACTGTCAAAGAATTTTCCTGATTAAATAATAACCTGGCAGTGTACCATCCAGTTTGTCCTTTGCATGCCTGTCCTGTGTTGTATATTTTTGGCATTTGAGTGAGTGCAAAGTGGGCGTTCTTTAAAATATAATCAAGTCTGGACCAGACAAACCAGTGATCAAAAGCATGAGCAACAATCAACGTCATTGGGGTATGATGACTGCTGTCATTGAGACACACCATCCTTGTACGGCATCTCTGTCCATACTGTCACCTGTATGACAAGCGTAGGTTACTGGGGAGAGTTGAAATGATTCTCAGTGACCTCTGTGCAGGTAAGGAGTCCCAGCAGTGACTTGCCATGAATGTTAGAATGACGACCTGCTGTGTCTTCTGTGCAGGTGAGGCAAAGGGGAAGAAGGGGAAGGGAGCAGCTGAAGCGGAGCCTGACAAGATGGATGTCTCCAGACTGGACCTGAGAGTTGGCAAGATCCTGTCTGCCCAGAAGCACCCCGACGCAGACTCCCTGTACGTGGAGGATGTGGATGTAGGCGAGGGGAAGACACGGACTGTGGTGTCTGGCCTCGTCAAACATATACCATTAGAACAGGTACTTAAACTTTTCTATCAGAAGCCTTATTTAGTATAGTTGGGATGGCATCAGCTTTTCAGAAGGTCCTCCCGCTTTTCTCTCTAATGCACCTCAACTTTGCAGAGTTGCATTACTCAACTGTGCCAGGATCCAGTGATTATGATCCACCATGGCATAAACAAAAATCAATCTTGTTGAAGTTGGATCTTAGTACTCGCTACTGCTAAACAAAGATCTGAGGACATCCCTTCATATGTCACGTCAGAACAACCTTTCACAAGCTTTGAACAACCAATGAAACGACTAACAGGAAATCAACATTAGCCAGCAAAGCTTTATTGTACTAGTTTCAAACTGGCGACATCCATTCCAGAGAAGGCTTTGAAATAATTGGACAAGTTCTCAATTCAAAATTTGAAAACTGAACAAAAAGAAAATTCTGGAATGTCTAATAGATGGCAAAGATTGTATGGCAGTACTTTCAACGGGCGATGGAAAGTCAAAGTTTCAAATGTTTATCCCACTGAAGCAAGAGTTAGACGATGATTTTGATGGAATCAGTTCTAACTGTCAATCAGAATACTCTGAGGTTGCATGATTAGACAAAATAATTTCAACTGTCACTTTCACAATCTAGTAAGCGACGCTCTGATTGGTCAGATGAAAGGTCATTCTGACGTGACCTGTAATGAAATGTCCTCAGATCTTTATTTAGTGGTAGCGAGAACTAAATTATGATTTTAATTGGTAAGCATATGTTCCTGACCTAATCTAGCCCAGGACCCATTAGGGGTCACATCAGAACGACCTGACATCCGACCAATCTGAGCGTCGCTTGCTAGATCATGACAGTTACAGTAGGAATGTGATTTTTAATTATGCAACCTCGAAAACTTTAACATGGGGTATTCCGAACGATAGTTACGGGCTTAACGACTGAATCCACACAATCTAGACCATCTGTTTGCCATTCCAGAATGTTCTTTTGTTCAGGTTTCAAATTTGTCAAAATATGTTTTGAAGCGTAGTTGCCAATTTGAAATTAGTGCCGTAAAGCACAAGAAAGCTGCCTTCTGATTGGCTAATGTCGACTTGTCAGTTATTCAATTGGTCGTTCAAAGTTCGCGCACGGTCGGTGTGACGTGACCCGTAATGGGATGTCCTCATATCTTTGTTTAGTGGTACATTCAGTGGAACTAAGATCTGATTTTAATGAGATTGACCAATTTGGTAACTACAGCTCATATCAAAATTGCTAATCAACGTTTTACATTCTTCTTTCCTTCATTCCACAGATGCAGAATCGTATTGCTGTGTTTATGTGCAATCTGAAGCCGGCCAAGATGCGGGGTGTCCTGTCTGAAGGGATGATCATGTGTGCTAGTGCCCCGGACAAGGTCGAGATCCTGGTGCCACCCCCAGGAGTACAGCCAGGGGACAGGGTCACCTTCGATGGCTACCCTGGTGAGCAATAGTTGATATTCTTCTGATTGGGGTTACAATAACGTTATCGATGATAAACTAATCCGATAATCCCACCACAAAGTCAAGAGCTTGCCGTTCAGTTCTAGTCTAAATCTAGATTAGTGTCTCGTGTGAAAACTGCAGTTTTCTCTTGTCAGTCAACATCCCGAATTATCGGTTGTGTATGGTATTTCAGTCATGAAGTCTGTCAGGTGGAGTGGAGAGGAGAGGAGTCTCTCCATAATAATTAATACCACCTGTTGTGGGGTAGGCCCAGAACACTCCTGCTTCTCCTAGAGACATTCATCTGGTGGTACAGGATAACATCAGTGTTGGCCAACATGCCCAAAGCAATTTTAATTTTTGGAGTAGAGACCATCTTAAATCCAACAGTTAACCATAAACCTTGTCAATGTATCATCCAAACACCACTCGCATGGAGGAAGGTGCTATGCTTTCAGACTTTCTGGTGTTCTAACAATTAAGCATTTTTTGATGATTACCATATTAGTATGATTCAGAATATCATATTCATTGACTGCATGCCAACATGCATATTGTTGGAGAATATTGAAGAAATAGATTGGTTTCTCTGGATGTCACGAACAACTTTCAGGTGTCCCGGATACCCAGCTGAATCCAAAGAAGAAGATCTGGGAGACGTTGAAACCGGACATCCGCACTGACAACAACAAAGTGGCCAACTATAAGGGGGCACCATTTAAAGTCGAAGGCAAAGGAATCGTCAAGGCTCCAACGCTAGCTGATGCGCAAATATCTTAAATGGTATTCGTGATTAGAAGTTGCAGAACATGAAGTGGGTTCAATTGTACAGAGATTGACAAGACAGGGAGCCTATTATAAACAGAGCTGTTCACACTGTTCCCAATTGTAAATAAAATAACAAATTATATTTGAGTTGTTTGAATTCTGTTTAATTGTTAAATCCTCAGCTTTTATCAGTAATATCCATGATGTTGAGTCCTGCCTGTCAGGACGTGCTCACAACCAAAAAATATTAGATAATATTTTAAACTTTTCAGTAATATGTATGCAATGTCATATTTGGCATATATATACTCTTTGAAAGAAGTTAAGAACTCCTGATTCGTTCATATTACTATTGTTAATGTCATGGCGTTATTTACAGTTTCTCTATTGCACTATACTTTTGGCTTCCTGTCATGAAATTCTGAACCAGTTGTGTTTGTGCACCTCTTTGATGTGGGAGGAAAGCCCAAAGTTATGCAAGTCTTGGACGTTGGCCACTTTGATGAAACCCACTGCCACAGATGCTGACAAACCAGTGATTGTAACCATTGATTTCGAACCTACGATCATAGGATCATAACATGGCTAAGGGACATTACTCTGGAAGGAGAATTGTTATGCCATAGTTCAATGGGCCACCAGTGCCGCCAGCTGCTGAATGCAATAATACACAACACTTGCTTGATCGCAACCATTAGGATGCGGTCTTCATAATCTACAGTAACCACTTCAACCTAAGTGATGCAGTATCTATTCTGTGATTGCGAGTCTATGGAAATAATCAGGACATGTGTTATGTGAGGTTTTCATAATGGACAATAGCGCTAGCCTACCAATGGTAGGCAGAACTCCTTATTCATTAGGATAAAGTGAGTCTCAAAAACAACAAACTGTAGGTCTTGCAAGTATGTATTTACAGTTTTATTTGTACATTTTACAGTTTAACAATGATGAGTTCAACAACGGCAATGGGCCAAGCTCAGAAAGCATAGAGTGTCTGGAGCAGCTTGTGCTGGGCCTGGGAACACTTCTCGAACTGGGTGCCAGGTCTGAAACAAAAAAACCAGGGTTAATACTGCGACACCCATTTGTTCTGGTGACCTTGCCTTTTGGACAATTCATGTCAGGAACTTCTAAATTGTACAAAGGACATGTAATGTACCCATTATTCATTTTTTCCAAAATTTCCACTGGAAATGGTACCATCTGGAAAACAGAGGTTTCACCGCATCTCAATGCTGAGTTCAATCATGCTACCTTAAATTGTGCAGTGTATAAAATTAATGAGGCCCTTGAGACTAGCTGCATAAGAACTTGACTCTACGGACTCACTGAATCTTTTATTTTAAGTATTAGGGATATAACAAGGACTCCCGGATTTTAATGCTTAATTTAAAAAAAAAATAACAACAGCATAGCCAGAAAGGATATGAACAGGCATATTTGATTAAATTCAAGTGGTCTGTGTGACCAATTTCACCCATATAGTTCCCTATTCAGAGTTTAGAGAGGCAATAAGAATTCATAAATATGATGTATGGTCATACTCTGTGACCACCTGATTCCCATATTAGATGGGTCTTGTAACAGTTAGGGGTACTGAGGGTCTTATCTGCCTTTAAGTGGAATCCAACAGTCACCTGATGAGTGAGTGAGTGAGTGAGTTTGATTTTACGCTGCTTTTAGCATTATTACAGCAATATCACGGCGGGGGACACCAGAAATGGGCTTCACACATTGTACCCATGTCGGGAATCGAACCCGGGTCTTCAGCGTGACGAGCGAAAAGCTTTAACCACCAGGCTACCTGACCGTCACCCGATGAACTCAAATGTATGGAAATCGTTTGGAAGCTAGGCTGACAATTTTCATTCTATAAGAAACCTTTCAGTAAACGTACTTGCTGATAAACACCTGGAGGATGTCACGGGCAAGCTTAGGGAAGTAGGACTGCTGGACAACGTGATCCAGGACAATGAGAGGTCCAGAGATATCAGTCATTGGCTTGAACTTCTTGTCTTCGCCCTGTTAAAAAAAAGATGTGTATGAATGAACTACATTTCCATATGTTGTGTAAGGTTGTTTACGTTTTGGGCAAAGCAACTAGTGTAGAAAAAGACAACATTAGAGCTCAGATTTGTTTACAAAACTTGAGGGAGGATGCTGAATGCACTGGTCAAGAAGAAGAATACAGTGCTAAGGTATAATATCATAAATATATATCTTTGTAACCAGCAACTTTATGCAGGACCAAGTACAAGGTTCAGACAGGCTTCAGAGGGCCCTCTCTTAAAAAGGCAATCAATTTGGTCAATCAAGTATTGTATGAACCATGTTAAAGTATTATTTGGGGTCTGTTAAACTTCTGACTTGGCTTGGTGGCTCCCAATAAAATGATGCTAAAATAATTCAAAGCTCAAATAAGACTGAAAGTTTCACCACTGCCTAAGTCAAACTGCCCCATGCAATCACAGAGGTTGTGTTCCCTCACCTTGATGAGCCCCAGCTGCACCAGTATGGCATTGGCAACCTGGGATGAAGCATATTCCCTCTTCATCACTCCCTCAAGAAGAACATCTGCAAGAAATCCAGGAAGTGTGGTGTTATTTCATTAATTTAACTGTTCAGTATTGTTCATACACACTGCCTGTTAGACAATATTTTGGGTTTCAGTAAGTAACTTGTTTTTCCCCACCACAATCAGCATGATCAGTTATGACAGTAGCCTCCAAATAATTAGATCATGACCAGACAGACCGGTGAGTACTGTAACACTAAATCAGCCTGGTCACATACTTCCATTATAGTTGACAGGTACAAATAAGGCCACACATTCTTTTTTCACGGGCTTGTCGCCCCTACTGAAAAGCAGCCCATCTAAGAAATAAATTTAACATAAAAATATTTATTTTTATTATGTCTCCTGCTAGTAATATAGATCCTCCGATACAATACAAAATGTTACATATAAATTCCATGTCTACATCAGTATCAGTGATTCAGGAGGCCACCTGTAGTTTTAACTGCACAGCAGGTTGACTTTTATTAAAATAAATAAATAATTTATTTTTATGTTTATTTTGATTGACCTTGTGTGGAAAGGCAGGAATAAATCCGTGAAATATAACATTTATAAAGTGTGGCCTACTGGAGTGTACAAAACCTATCATCTGTGGGGCATGTCCAGTTGTATACAAGAGCAACACAGGAGAGGGTTTTCATGTCATAGTATCAGCCATATCTACAAGAAGGCTGAAGGCCTGTTCAGCTCAGGCATGCACGATTGATAATTGTACAGAAAGCATGATGTACTTTGGGTCGGTTCTGCTCATTGAGTGAGTGAGCGAGTATGGTTTTACGCTGCTTTTAGCAATTAACAAGCAATATAACGGCGGGGGACACCAGAAATGGGCTTGACACATTGTACCCATGTCGGGAATCGAACCTGGGTCTTCGGTGAACGCTTTAACCACAAGGCTAGCCCACTGCTCATTGAGGACATCCTATTTCCAATTTTCCTTATCTCTTTCAACCACCGATAGGTTTGTGAAATCTCCTCTGGAGCCCCAGTGGAGGTGTGTGAGTGAGTGAAACAGACATTCTTACCAGCACACTCTGTAGCAGCATCTTTTGTTTTGTCATCGTCTTGTCGAACCACGGCAGCAACCTAAAACCAGTAAACACACTAAAGAAATAAGCGATACAAAATGTTCAATATAGTTTATTACCTTATTTGCTTGCTAAACAAAGCCATGATGCTACATTTGAGAATAATGCAAGGCAGATTAATTATATATTCTAATTGAATTGGGATTTAATGAGATTTGAAGTGACTGTACCATACACTGGAAGACAGAATCCTTACAATAGGATTTAAAACATGAAACTTGGTGAGATGATAACATATTTTTGGCTTCACAGCAATTGTGGTATGAATTCAGCCATTCTTATACTTCTATTTACTGGAACTGTACATATGCTCTCAATTAGTAACATACATTTACTGAGAACTATTTGTATTGTAATCATCAATATGAATAACGGTACATCACACTTCAAATACATAACAAATTTGCCCATGTCAGAGAAGGAGCAAAGAAAAGCATTCATCTGCAGGACAGTCACTGAAAGTGTTCTAACTCTGTGTACACCTGGACTACAATCTGTCACGACACCCATGCCTCTGATCAAAATGTTAGGTGAACGTTCAACAAAATCCATAAATGGGCAAAGAGAAGTTTTCCATTACATTATGAAACTGGTGTGAGTAATTGAGTTAGGTTTTACACTGCTGTTAGCATCACTCCAGCAGCTTATCGGTGGGGAATTGAAACTGCATGAAACTGTAACCATGGATACTGACCCGCATCACCGTCTCCACAACTTTCTCAGCATCTTCACTTTCATACTGAAACAGGAAGTTGAAACAACTCAGAATGGAATCAAGCCACAGTAAATGTTTGAGCACTCAGATGTACAATACAGTTCACCTATCAATGAAAAATGATATTTGCAGTGACCTACCCCGAGTTGTTGTTTCAAAGTTGCAGCTCTTGAGTGGCCCATGCCTAACAACTTCGTTGGTGAGGGAAAGGCCAGGAAATCAGCAGCAGAGACCTACAACAAGGACAATTATTGTCGATAAAGAAAAGCAAAATGTATCAAAAAGACTAATTCCTGAACAACAAGGGCACCAGTTCAGGGCATGCCTGATGTGAAAAGAAAGTTTCACAAAGAAATACTGAAACAGTTTATAAGTTATGATCTTGAAATGAAACATGAAGGAAGGATGGATTACTGGACGCCGAGGTTGTATACCCCTGATAAACACTGGCCAAATACTTCTGAAACCCTGTCCATCATTCCCAGGTAAAAGGATCCATAATGATAAGTACTAACGGTCAAAGTTGTGCAATAATCAGTTAGAATAGGAACCATGGGATGATGCAGAAAGAAACCCCTTTCTACCTTTCCAGGTGCATTTAGAGATCTGATGGAAGACACAGTTCAACACCAACATACTGGAGTGGTGTACCTACAACTCTTCATCTCGCACATCGCCATAAAAGATTGAATAACACGACATAATTATATTCCATACTGTTCAAATAGACTGGAGATCAGGTCAAGCACTTTCTGCTGTTTGCACATCTTTCCTATATCTGTAGACAGCTGGGGTGAGATCTCCAGGAAGTCTAGTTTGGATTAAAATGTATTTTATACATGCATGTTACACACTACCTAACCTTGGCCACACAACTTAAAAAACAAGGAATCCAAAGAAGGCTCAAGTTTATGCCAGTCTTACTATGTTCTGGTTTAACTAAACTGCAGGAATACTCAATAGTGCCTTTCTTTGAGGTGTATTGTATTTTTCCTGAAGGCTCATGTTAATGGCAGTCTTACTATGTTCTGGTAAACTAAACTGCAGGAATACTCAATAGTGCCTATCTTTGAGGTGCATTGTATTGTTCCTGAAGGCTCACGTTAATGGCAGTCTTACTATGTTCTGGTCAACTAAACTGCAGGAATACTCAATAGTGTCTTTCTTTGAGGCTCATTGTATAATGCCAGTCTTACTATGTTCTGGACAACTAAACTGCAGGAATACTCAATAGTGCCTTTCTTTGAGATGCATTGTATAATGCCAGTCTTACTATGTTCTGGTCAACTAAACTGCAGGAATACTCAATAGTGTCTTTCTTCTCATTGTATTGTTCCCTGAACTTCTGTCTGTGAATGTGAAAGAAACAATGGAGAGTAAAACTACACCAGTCTCACATTGAGGGAGGGTCACATCTAGGGAGGGTCACATCTAGGTAGGGTCACATTGAGGTAGGGTCACATTGAGGTAGGGTCACATTGAGGTAGGGTCACATTGAGGGAGGGTCACATTGAGGTAGGGTCACATTGAGGGAGGGTCACACTGAGGGAGGGTCACACTGAGGGAGGGTCACATTGAGGGAGGGTCACATTGAGGGAGGGTCACATTGAGGGAGGGTCACACTGAGGGAGGGTCACATTGAGGGAGGGTCACATTGAGGTAGGGTCACATTGAGGGAGGGTCACATTGAGGTAGGGTCACATTGAGGGAGGGTCACATTGAGGTAGGGTCACATTGAGGTAGGGTCACATTGAGGGAGGGTCATATTGAGGTAGGGTCACATTGAGGGAGGGTCACATTAAGGTAGGGTCACATTGAGGGTCACATTGAGGTAGGGTCACATTGAGGGAGGGTCACATTGAGGGAGGGTCACACTGAGGGAGGGTCACACTGAGGGAGGGTCACATTGAGGGAGGGTCACATTGAGGGAGGGTCACATTGAGGGAGGGTCACATTGAGGTAGGGTCACACTGAGGGAGGGTCACATTGAGGGAGGGTCACATTGAGGGAGGGTCACTTAAATGTGTGACCTGTGAGACATCTATTTGAGGAGTCCTAAAAATACTTCAAAGTACAGCTACGACTTGTGGCCAATAAGAGACTGCAATATTATCACACCAAGTATATTCATATCCATGACAAATGTACCTGAAACAGTTCTAAGAGTACACCATTGCACGTTCACTTCAAGCACTGGGCACTTTTGCCCCTATGGCTTGTATGCAGCACCTGATAGAACCCGTCTTCTTCGTTATTAAGGTGATGTGCATTTCAATGACTAGGCTAGCCCACCACGCTTTAGTGAGAACCAAGTCACCAAGTTAATGGCCTTCTAATATTCATGTTTGTTTGCTGTTCAACACTATTCCACACTATTTGTTCAGCAATTTTCCAGCCATATGGGGTTTAACGTCTCGTCCAAGATTATTGTACTTATATAGCGACATGCATGCACGTGTATGTGTGTGTGTGGCTGCTTGTACTAGTCAGGACTGATGCCAATTTATAGTGCTAGCTCACTGAGATACCATGCCGCAGTTTAACATGAATACCCCACTCAGATGCATGCACGTGTATGTGTGTGTGTGCCTGCTTGTACTAGTCAGGACTGATGCCAATTTATAGTGCTAGCTCACTGAGATACCATGCCGCAGTTTAACATGAATACCCCACTCAGACACAGTATACTGACTCCGAGCCGACCAGTCCTTGTTTTAGCCCCTTAATGCCGAGCGCCAGACAGGATAACAACAAGTACCATCATTTAACGTCTTTTGGTATGACGCAGCTGGGGATCGAACCCCGGACCTTCCACTCTCCGGGCGGACGCTCTACCATTAGACCACGAAGGCGGTCGATCGATATTATAAGCACCATGATACACAATGTATCACACCACTGAGTCTGACCACTTGATCCATTTAGTTACCTCTCTTGAATCAAATCTGTTCAAGACCATCCAAACAGTAAAGCTGCAGCTATTTCATAAATCAAATCACAATTGCTATTGCAGTCATTCAAACACAAATTCATTGGAAATCAAAAGATTTATTAAATATAATTTCAAAAAGCAGTGGTGGGTATTTCAAGCAAAGAAATTCACACAGATACAAATACGACCTTACTTGTTTAAACAAAAACTTTACAAAATATATCATCATCTAAGATACACAGAATATAACATATCTTTACACATGATATTGGCATTCTAGAAGTTGGAGAGTACCTAAATAAGAAAACATACATCTTTATGTATAACAACTTCTGGTATACTGATTTAGCGACGTTTCGATGTAGATCCTTACTTTGTGAATAGCTAATCAGGTAATTGACTTTCAATTAGTAGCCAATCAAGCTTGAAACATCTTAACATCTTATCCTTGATCCTCACAGTACACCTGGCTTAATGTAACTATCTGTGCACTACTTGTTATCAATCACCTGTTGAGATTATTGTCAATCAGCTGCTCATCACAACATGTCACATGAATACGAATATGCCTGTCATAAGAGGCGACTAACGGGATCGGGTGGTCAGATTCGCTGACTTGGTTGATGCATGTCATTGTATCCCAGCTGCCTGGATCGATGCTCATGATGGCAGTCATCATCTTATCTTTACCATATTTGCAAGATATTAACTGGATTTCATCAAAAGGATGTAGAGGGGAATTAATTTAAAAAAGGCCCTGAAAGCTTTTCAACCAAATTAATATGAAAATCTAATCGCCTAACAATACCTAAGCTTCAGTCATGTCACATTCAAGAGAAAGTCCTTTGACAATGCAAATCCATTCCTTTGTCACAATCATTACTGCTAGGTCCCATAAGTAAGAATCTATGTTGTCCAACACATATATTCCAGTCCAAATACCCTTTTGTAAATGTTTAAATCGACTTGAGTTGGGACAGAAGCCAGTAGAAAGAACAAGTGAAATGTGATGATTTGAGATATATTATCTTTGTACATCATCCTCTGAAAATAGGAGTATTGACGAAATCCTATTTATAGAATCAGGGCAATAACCAGACAGGTTGATGTTCAGGAATGTGACCAATAAGAAATCACTGTTATTTTGCATTGGCTGATACAACTGTAGACAAATTTGTATTTACCTACACACTGACCAGACTACCACTAACAGAAAGACACATCCATACATGTCTGATTCAATTCCCCAACATCAATGTTATTTTCATTGGCACATCAACACCGATACAACCGTAGACAAATTTGTATTCCCCTAAATATTGACCAGACCATCATGAACAGAAACACAGATTCTACATGTCTCATTCATCAGACATCTTCCCCTCTGTGTCCTTGTATGCCAAACAAAAGCATTATTCTCAAAAGACAGATTTTTCCACCTGATGTTTCTACGATACAAAGGACTTCTGCAAATATTTGCAAAACCAATTTATCAGAGAGGTAACTATATTATATCCTAAATTAGGCAATGTGAAAACATGTCATTTGAAGTATCAAACGTCAATCTAGCATTATCATCTTCGTCAATACTTTACAGGTTTGCATGCACTAGGTTCTTCCATAACCTTTGATTACATATACTGTAACCATTTTCAACCAACGATTCAAGCCACGGCCTGATTCCAGCTCAGTCTCAGACCAATGACTGCTGAGATTACATCAGCAATAGTTCTTGTGCAGCATGAGCCATGACCTTGATTTGTTTGTTCGTTGTTTAACGTCGCACTCAGCAATATTTCAGCTATATGACGGCAGTCTGTAAATAGTCTGAGTCTGGACCAGACAATCCAGTGATAGACATCATGAGCACGATCACGTTTGCCGCCTCTTACGACAAGTATAGTTGCCTGGTTGCTGGAGACCTATTCTACCTTGGATCTTCATGGGTCCCATGACCTTGAAGCCATCTACCATGTCTACTCTATGCATGGCTCAAATATCAGGCAATGGTAGGGATGCACAAACTTCAAACAGAGCAGGTCTCATTTGACTTCCGTTATACACGGCCTCATTTCATTACACAAAAAAATAGACGTTACTACACCGCATAGCGGTCATGTGTATTCTGGGGCGATGAAGGAACGTGGAAGAACACGTAAAGTTTTGACAATAATTATAATAAATAAGGAATGCCACAGTAGTATACGAGACAGTGAGTTGGGTTTTATGATGCTTCTAGCAATATTCCAGCAATACCACATCACAGGAAACAGAAAAGGGCTCACACATTGTACCCAGGCATCAAACCCAGGCCTTTGGCATAAGGAACCGACATTTTAACCACTAGGCTACCCCATTAGGCAACTGAACCCTGCAATAGACTGACACACAAAACATATATGTAACAACTGTCAGACTTGGTTCTCTGCAGGATTGATTGACATTTTCAATGTACATTCTGTGGTTAAAACAAAAAACGCACACCATATTGATGAACAGATTTAACTTAAAAATAATCTATTCCTAAAAACATTAGAAATAAAATCAAGTCAAAAGACAGGGAAGTAAAATCATTCAAAAAGACTTTCATCAGCATCATTTTATTGATGGAAACATGATCCATAGCGTATGGTTAAGGATGGAATTAACGGCTTAACCACTTCACATTCGTTGTGATCAATTGTTTCTACTTCAACATAAATATGTATTCAACATATATAAAAATATATGCTTTGGCATGAGGAATTTCTGTGAGTATTGTGAGTGAGACAGACAATAGAGTAAAAAGATTTTTTAACAAAAATCATAAACACCTTGTGCCAACAAACCTATGTTTAAAAAGACATACCGATATATATATAAAACACATTCACATGTTTAACAAACCACTGTTAAAATGTAAATAGACTAGAAGTAAACTACTTGGCCCTTTTCAAATTGTCATTTCCCCCTCGGGAAGGAATGATGAAAACAGATGCAGGCACAGCAAACTGACAGTACAGTTTCATGCTCATGAGGACACCTTGGTAAGAAGTCAGTTTTCAGATTGTGGCCAGGCTACTTCATGTTATTATTTTGTAATTTAGTCTGCCAGAAATATTGCAGAATTAAACAAAAAACAGCATGTACAATAAAAAGTATTTTAAAAAATTCAAGAACGACTTACACCACAAAGAATCATGGCGGACTGAAATTAGGGGATGTCAATTTTGTTTTTATTCTCTTCTTTATTACCTACATATTGTAATTACAAAGATCAAAAACATGTACAATAGAAGATTATCCTGAACATATGTAAACCTATTTACATTAAACCATAATTCCTTTCAGACTGATAGTGATAATCACATGATTATCATATGACAATGACTTCAATGGTGGTCCCACACATATTATTATAACCCGATGACATAGAGAAATATGAATGTTCTTGAGATTATACACACGTTTCTTATCTGTTATCTCTATCATTGGCCAAATGAAACTGAAAAGGGTTGATGTTAATCAATTACTTTGGCAAAACAAAATTAGATTTATTTGGTGTCCTTTGATAAATACATATAACAGAAACACAGCTAAGCTGACAAGGCTTATTTAAACAGTAGCCATGTACTTAGCACATTTGTTTAGAGCCTGAATAGGAACACATGTTTATTCACCTGTAGAATCACCAACATATTGCATAACAAAAAACAGGTTTCTTCTGAATAAAACAACATATCAATACACAAGGGCTGCCCTGGGTAATACGGGTAGGAGGGCTGGGTGGGTCGAGTAGGACACAGGTACCCGGTAGAGGGCTGGGGTCAAGTAGGACACAGGTACCCGGTAGGAGGGCCGGTTGGGTCGAGTAGGACACAGGTACCCGGTAGGAGGGCCGGTTGGGTCGAGTAGGACACGGGTACCCGGTAGGAGGGCTGGGTGGGTCGAGTAGGACAAGGGTACCCGGTTGGAGGGCTTGTCGGGTCGAGTAGGACACGGGTACCCGGTAGGAGGGCTTGGTGGGTCAAGTAGAATATGGGTACCAGGTAGGAGGGCTTGGTGGGTCGAGTAGGACACAGGTACCCGGTAGGAGGGCTTCGTGGGTCAAGTAGGACACGGGTACCAGGTAAGAGGGCTTGGTGGGTCGAGTAGGACACGGGTACCCGGTAGGAGGGCCGAGTGGGTCGAGTAGGACACGGGTACCCAAAGGACTACCCAGACCCAGTGACATGATAAATTGTTTAATGACAATAACAATAAAGCTCCATGGTTACACTACAAGACATTAAAATTCACATTTCTTTCTGACTATGCAAGCTTTTCTTCTGACTTTTATATACTTGAGTAAAGATAAAGCTTCAGTCTACTTCAATGTATTCATGATCAGATCATTTTGTAAGTGTGTGTCAATAGTTTTTGCCAGAACTCCTGTAAAACAATTCCCAAATGAACATTTTGTACCCAACTCTTGAGACATACAACGGGTACCCAGGTAAGGTAAGGTAATAGGGGGTCGGGTAACTGGGTACTAAATTTGGACTTGTCCCAGCCCTACTACATACCACTGTAACTTTGCAATATCACAGTCAAGTTTGTTTCACAAATTTAAACAAGGAATGGTCAACATTCATTACTTTCCACATCTACTCAGCAAATGACACTTCTAAAACAATAATACATCCTTCAGACAATGAACGCATTAATAATCTGAGAACAAGTCAGCTAACTTCAAAAACACCTAAAAAATAATTAAAAAAACCATTTCACCATGTTCACACTAAAACATACACATGGATCACTTTTTGATTGACTTTGAGCTTACTTCCTGTTCCCAAATTTTGGAATGAAAAGAACCTATCACTTGCAAGTCAACAGCTAAAAGTGAAACTTAATATTTGTAACTGGACGTTTTTCTGAATGTCGCTAGGCACAAATCTGTCATGATATCGACAGAGTCTTCAAGTCATCAGCCAAGTCATTTGTGGCAACTTCTCCCTGAAACCAGAAAGGCAGTCTGTCAGTTTCAGGCCAATTCTGAGTTATTCTTTACCAAAGGATATCAATTCCTTACATAAGAAAGAGAATTTATGGATGTCAACTTCTTTATTATGAGGAACACAGCGTTTCGGGGGATATACTTACTCCTTCATCAGGTGAATGATTCACCTGATGAAGGAGTAAGTATATCCTCCAAAACGTGAATCATTCACGTGATGAAGGAGTAAATATATCCTCCAAAACGTTGTGTTCCTCATATTAAAGCAGTTGACATCCATAAATTCTCTTCCTTGTGTATCACTTCTAAATGCCTTCAAAGACTTGAATTCCTCACCTGTTAACGTGAATTACATTTTCTACAATTTCAGTATTTAAGTTGCAATATCAAGGAAAGGGCTGATCGGAGAAGTCACCACAAATTCTATTGGTTAATGATGCAAAGTGTAAAATGTTTATATTTAAATGTTTAACCTGAACTCACCTTCACCGACAGATATGCAACATGGCCAGGGTCTTGTTCCTCACATCTATCTTTGGGCTACGACTATCGTAGTGATTGTTGCATCATGGGAGCCATGATCAGTCGGCTTTATGGAACAGTCCCTGGCCAGTTGTAGAATGATGGCATCTACAGTACACATGATATAACCACTCACCTGTTTGACTGGCGTGACTGCTTGACCCTTGACCTGTAGAGCAGGATCGTCATTGAGTTCCCCTTCTTCTTCATCTTCTACTTCCTGTGAAAAACATTAAAACACAAAACATTATTGATGAAATGTCATCCTGACATCCCTGGGAAATTCTTTTGTAGCACAGCGAAATGTTTTGTTTGTTTGATGTTTATCGAGACACTCAGCAATATTACAGCTACATGACGTAGTCTGTAAAAAACGGAGGCTGGACAAGACAATCCAGTGATTGATATCATGAGCATTGATGTACGCAATTGGGATACAAGCCTAGCCATCCTATCCCATTAATTGCCTCTTAAGACAAACATGGGTTGCTGAAGACCAATTCTAACCAGGAGTGAGTGAGTGAGTGAGTTGGGTTTAACGCCGCTTTTAACAGTATTAGAGTTATATCACGGCGTGTCAGCTTAATGTGGGAGGAAAGCCCGAAGTGATGCAGGTTTCAGACGTCTACCACTTCGGTGAAACCAATGAGCACGGGTATGGTGCTGACAAACCTAGAAACATAATTGGGGCGAACCGGGATTCGAACCCACAATCATAGGTTTCTGGCGTGCCCAAGGGACGCAACTTTGCACAACGAATTGCCGCGCCTAAGATGACTGAGCCACCCGTGCCCCTCTAACCAGGATCATAATGCGATGATTTTCATACCTGGTGGAACATCAGATCGTTTTGAATATTTCAAAAAAGAATTGTATACTTATATACTTATGCTATCTCCCACTAGGAATTTCTTCTTTCTTCTTCTATCCTATCTGGAAACGTGCTTGAACCGAGTTTCCAGCTTCCAAAAACAATCAACCCAAACATCACTATGGTCACCTCCCAAACAAATGGGTCGCGCACGTAATCCTGTGCATAGCAGCCTGCACAACCTGATCACATGCCTTTTTTCATCTGTCACTTCATTCTCTTTTGTCAGAGCTAACAGGCTAAGATAAGATGTGGAGATGGTCTTGCGAGATAGGATAAGTATATAAATATATACTTATTGGAAATTTCCAAATTTTTAAAACTTATCCTATCTCACACTATGCATTTATCCCACAGTTCAATGGTTGGCATAGACACCCTAGACTATAAGATTACAACAGTGAGATGTACACAAGGAAGCTGGTTCCAAACAGTGAAATAAATAAAATATTTAAACCACTGCCTAGTGTCGAAAACAAGAACTCGTGAGCAGGAAATAAATCAACAACTGGATACATGATCCCGATATGCTACTCGAACATAGCAGCATGAGATTGGGTACAACATGCAGCGTTTTTTCACATATTACGTCATTAAATGAATGACCGCGTAGCTGTAAAGAAATAAGCGACACAGCATACAGCATTCTACAATACAGATCAGAACACAATCTTCCAAGACAATAGCATGCATCTGCTCAGCATCAGTCTTAAAGCTTCTTCAAAGCTATTAGTGAGAGAGTATGGTTTTATGCCACTTTAAGCAATATTCCAGCAATATCATGGCGGGGGATACCAGAAATGGGCTTCACCCATTGGCCTCATGTCGGGAATTCCATGTCTTCAGCGTGACGAGCGAACGCTTTAACCACTAGGCCATTAAACCCACCCAGTGATTAAAGCACGCCAAGATGAGAAGAGGAACAATCAACACTATCCAATCAAACCTTCGAACCAGTACCCCGACAACACAAATACTCAAGGCAGAGGTGAACAGAGTAAAGGTTCGAGAGAAGGTTCGGGACCAAAGTCAGTGTGAGGGAATTGGTAGCTTCTCTCTTCTGAAGGACAAGAGGAAGAACACCTGTCAGGGGAAATGTGTTGGCATTGAGGCCTTCCCAGGAGATTGCCAGAGCATCGTGATCCCAAGCCTGAGGATCGGGGATGGAAGACACGAACCTTGAGAACTGAGCTTTGAATATGAATGCAAAAAGATTGACGTCTGGGAACAGATATAGTTGGCAAATCCACAAGAAGATAGATGGATGAAAAGACCTTTCTGTCTATGACGACCTGTATGATCGGGACAGAGTCGGCTATAACACTGGAGATCCCCGGAATATGATTTGCCTGAACCTGGATGTTGAGAGAGATGATAAACTGGAAGAAGTCGAGTGAGAGCAAGAGGAGCGACATCAACTTGGTAGATCCCAACTTGTTGATGTACCAGTTGTTCGACTGTATCATGAGGTGAGAGGAACAGAGGAGCGTCGAGCAGTGAGATACTGCCAGTATCACAGCCTTTAACTTGAGATTGCTTTGAAGACAAGGCTCGTCATCAGACCAACGCCCTGCAATTTGATGCATCAAAGAAAAAGTGGAGGGTCGGAACAAACAGCTTCAAAGAGAACACGACGCAAACATTCAACTCTACTTGGGACCACTTAACGTGCAGACGCAGATGAATCGGGAGGGAGATTGGTGGCCAGCAATCATCATTCGGGATGGCGATGAGAAAGTGAGTGAGTGAGTGAGTTGGGTTTATCGCTGCTTTTAACAGTATTCCAGTCATATCACGGCATGTCTGCTGAGCTTAATGTGGCAGGAAAGCCCGAAGTGATGCAAGTCTCAGACGTTTACCACTTGGGCGAAACCCACAAGCATGGGAATGGTGCTGACAAACCTAGAAACCTAATCGGGGCGAACCGGGATTTGAACCCACAATCATGGGTTTCTGGCGTGCCTGGACGCAACTCTCCGCAGCGAATCGCGGCACCTTAGATGACTAGGCCTGTGGCCCCTGGCAGTGAGAAAAAGAATGAAGTGACAAAGGAGGCACATGATTAGGTTGTGTAGGTCACTATGCACAGGATTACGTGCGTGACCCATTTGTCTTGGAGGTGACCATGGTGATGCTGGAGATTGTTCGGGTGGATTGTTTTTTAGGAGCTGGAAATCCTGTTCAATCATGTTTCCATATGGAATAGAAGAAGAAAAAAGAAATCCACAGTTTGATATAGGATAATTTTAAAAACAGCTGTTATATATTGAATGGAAAAGTTGGATTTAGTTGGATGGAAAACTCTGCTGACCTGCATATGCCTTATGCAACTGGACCCAACTTTGATATAAAACAAATACGTACAAATCAGTGCCAAATAATTTATCCATAGTGCAACCTTTTTGAGATTAACCAGTTGTCAACTTTCTAATGAGCAAATCCACACTTACTTCTTCCTCCCCTTCCTCATCTTCCTCCTCCTCATCACTTCCTTCATCATCACTGAAATAATCGGAAAAACATCAGAACAAACCTAACAACCAGCCATGGCAACATGCCATTTACCATACAACTACTATTTACATCCTCATCAAGTGAAAACTGAACAGACACCAAACTTAAATAAAACTACAAGGGACTGGAAAATAAATCTGTTCGTTAGATATGTTGATCGTTATATACTCAGAAATGTTGTCCATCTTGGATCGAACGAATAACACAATAATTGCAGCATTTATATGTTTTATGTTTCTTTTACAGGTGTGGTTAGGTGAGATTGGGTTTTATCCCCTTAGGACCAGGCATGGTAACAACAAGTACCATCTTTTAACATCTTTTGGTGTGACAGGGATTGGGATTGAATCCCTGACCTTCCGCTCTATGGGCGGATGCTCTACCACTTGACCATGGAAGCAGTCACTTATTTTACAGATAAGATAAGTTCAATTACAGGTAAGATGAACATAAAGCAAGTTTAGCATGGTTGAATGGTCTGAATGTTATATGAATGATAATGTTGATTCGCCACTGATTGAGAATTGCCAATTGTCTGTGACACAAACTGACACTGAGTGAGATTTATCCTTTCGCTTTACACATCACTAATAAGCATTATTTGGGACGGTTGGGGATCAAATATCAGTTTGCTGTACATCTTAATTCACTGTGCAGAGTTTGATATATATGTTTATTTATATGATAATATATATCAGGATTTTATATCCGTTTGTTCGCTCAATCCATGTTCATTCTATTTGTGTTCAACTGTACTCATATTAAATATTCCCAAATAGACAGCAATCATCAGCTCCTCATTAATAAGATTTTATAAAAAACAAGGTGTGCAGGAGACCAATTCTAACTAGATGTAGCGCTGAGGTCATGCAAGTACGCTCAGAAATCCCCACGTTACTGTAAGGTACATAAATGTAAAGTTAAATACTTCTGCCATCATATGTAGACTTGTTGTGTCCACCTACCTGAAAGATGCCAGGACGTGATCTTTGCCTACAGCTTCCATTGTTCCTCGTACCAGTTCAATGCCATCCTCCCCCAGCATGTTGGCTGGAAGTGACAAGAGTGAGTGAGTGAGTGAGTGAGTGAGTGAGTGAGTGAGTGAGTGAGCTAGCTATTTCACGGCAGCCTGAAATAACGAAGTCTGGGCCATGCAGACCAGTGGTTGATATTATGAGTAACGTCCTGTGTTGTCATAGAACAATGGACACCCAGTCAACCATTCAATCCATGTAAGTCACCTATTACGACAAGCAAAGGTTACTTTGAACCGCATCTACCTTGAAGTAATTTTACAAGTGAAACACTTGTAACTTTATACTAATCACATGCACACCTAAGATATCAATGTCAGACACTTTTGTTGGTTATCATGGTTATAATCATAGAGAAGTGACATTACAGTTCAAATGTGTCAATGTAAAGAAATGGGCAGGAACAGATTGGTAAATGAACTGTAAAACAAATTGGAGTTGCCCAAATTGGCAACCCATTGACAGTTGACAGCCCATTCTCGTTTAACATAATATTTTATTACCATGAAGAGGAAAGTGGCGATGGAGTGGTGGTTTCTTGAGTGAGTTAGTGAGTTGGGTTTAACGCCGCTTTGAACAGTATTCCGGTTATATCACGGCGTGTCAGCGTAATGTGGGAAGAAAGCCCGAAGTGACGCAGGTCTCAGACGTTTACCACTTTGGTGAAACCCATGAGCACGGGTATGGTGCTGACAAACCTAGAAACATAATTGGGGCGAAACAGGATTCGAACCCACAATCATAGGTTTCTGGCATGCCCAAGGGATGCAACTCTGCACAGCGAATCGCGGCGCCTTAGATGATTTGGCCACCCATGCCCCCTGGTGGTTTCTTGAAAACCATGACTATTTGTTTTAGTCTGAGGATCTTCAGAGTCCTTTTACTTACCATTGAGGTCTAATTTCACCAGATGCTCCTTGTCTTCAAGACTCTCTGCCACACTGTTAGCACCGGAACTGCCAATCTCATTGCCAGACAATATCAACTCCTGAAAATGAAGTGTCTTTTGTGAAACATGGCAGTGATCAATTGGTTTGGGTGAGGTGAGGTGAGGTGAGGTGAGGTGAGGTGAAATGAGGTTTAACGTTGCATCCAAGATTATTGCACTTATATAGCAACGTGCATGCACGTGTATTTGTGTGTGTGGCTGCTTGTACTAGTCCGGACTGATGCCGATTTATAGTGCTAGCTCACTGAGATACCATGCCGCAGTTTAACATGAATACCCCACTCAGACAGTATACTGACTCCGAGCTGACCAGTCCTTGTTTTAGCCCCTTAATGCTGAGCGCCAGACAGGGTAACAACAAGTACCATCTTTTAACGTCTTTGGTATGACGCTGTCAGGGATCGAAACCCCAGACCTTCCGCTCTCGGGGCGGACGTGCTACCATTAGACCACAGAGGTAAATTGGTTTGGAGTTGTACGATAAAATGGAAGGTCTGACTCCATAAACCATACCAGCCAAAACTGAGTGAATCCTAAATTGAATCATGTATAAAACGACAAAGCTATACAACTGTGAAAGGATTACTTATCACACCCTTGTTTCTTTCCTTGTTGTTTAATGCTGCACTTTGCAATAAAACAGCAATATGACAGCAGCCTGTCAATAATCAAGCCTGGACTAGACAATCCAGTGATTGATGAAATGAGCAATGATCCACGCCACACAATGGCAATGATGACTTGCAATCAACAAAGTTGCCAAAGCCAGACAACCCGATCCATTCAATTTGCTCTTATGATAAGCATAGATTGTTAGGAAACAATTCTAACCTGGAATCCCCAAAGGATTATACATTGCGACTCTAGAAACAGAGAAACAGCAACTGAAAACAGCATGTGTGTGAGTGTGTTTTGCTTAACACCTTTTAACAGTATTTCAGTCATATCATAGCGTGCAAGCTTAGAAGAGGAAAAACGCCTGAAGTGATGCAGTTCTCAGGTGTTTACCACTTTGGGGAAACCCACGATCACATGTATGGTGGTGACAAACCTAGAAACATCATCTGGGAAAACCAAGATTCAAACTCACAATGTGGTTTCTGGCCTGCACAAGGGACACAACTCTGCACAGTGAATTGCAGCACCTGATACAACTGGGCCACCTGTTCCCCCAGAGAGCATGTAAAGGCAGGCAGTACATCTATCATACATTAAACTAACATGGCAATTGATCTTACCATGGTAAAGGATGACATTCCACATGTAAGACCACTTACCTTTAGTTTTCTATGACCCTCATTTAAAACCTTGCCAATGGCTCTTGCTCCTTCATTTCGTAGTAAACAGTCACCAAAGTTAATTACTTCTAAATTTTCAAGTTTAGGTAGGGCCTGTAAAACAAACGGATAACTCTCAAGGGAAGCCTAAAACATGACGAAATAAATGTAAACTTGTCAAATGTTGTAAATTATTTATTGATTAATAATCAAACAAAAACAATATCTCAATGTCACACCAGACACTAATTACAACACCCAAACAGACATTAAAATGGCATCTGTCTGCCAAACCTCGCCCAACTCATACATAGTGTATTTTTCAAGAGTACACAAGCAAGCAGCAAATAGACAATACTGATAAAATATAACAATGGATCACTGCATGCAAATAACTTTTAATAATAATAATAATAATTGATTTGTAAAGCGCCTAATATCCATCGACAGTTGTTCACTGGCGCTGTGACAAAGTTAAAATGTAATGTCTATGTACATATGCCAACAATCAGGAGATCTATTGAAAAGCTGAAGTGAAGAAGTGGGTTTTGAGGTGAGACTTAAACGTTTTCAATCTTTTCACGGTTTGACATCATCATGGTCATATCCTGTTAATCATGGGAAATTGAACCTACCTGTGCTATGGCTTTGGCGCCTTTTTCTGTAAATGTGTTATCATTAAGATTGAGTACTCTTAGACGTTTGTTGACAGCCACTGCATCAGCAAGAGCTAATATACCGGGGTGGTTGATTCCATTCTGGGGCATAGCCAGTTCTTCAAGTGTGCCAATAGCCTGATAAAAGAGAAACATCATACAAAATCAAAGGGCCATAACCACCATAAGACATTCAGCTCTACCATGTTTCTGATTTAATTGTAGAACACCTATTTGTGAGCAAGTGTTGTTTGATAGTGATCCAATCTCCTTTCAATCAGATCTTTTACTCCGATACCATACCTCCTCATAGGTCGCATCAGGTGAACCTTGAGCAACCTTTGACCTCCCGATTAAAATGAAGGGTGCATGGGTTCTTGACCCCATTACATGTCAACTTTCTAAAACAATTCAGCTTCATTTCTTCCCCACATCTTGATCTTAATAGGAAAAAACCCACACAGAACACACATTTTGCGAAGATGTTACTCCCTTTTGGGTGCAGACGCCATGGTGCTTAAAGCAACAAGGTGTAGAGAATATCTACATAATGGCACAGCCATAATCATCTTCCTTTGGAACAAGTCATTTGGTTTTCATGACACAGAAATCTGATATGCTGCTCTGAATGCTTTGCTTACTTTTACCCAAGATTGGTTGGTTGGATGGTTAGTTGTGTATTGCCAAACTTAGCAATATTCCAGCTATATGACGGTGGTCTGTAAATAATCGAGTCTGGACCAGACAATCCAGTGATTGATATCATGGTCACCGATCCACGCAATTGGGATCGATGACATGCACCAACCAAGTCTGCGAGTCTGACCACCCGATCCCGTTAGTAGCCTCTTACGACAAGCATAGTTGCCTTTTACGGCAAGCATGGGTTGCTGAAGACCAATTATACCCCGGATATTCACAGCTCTTTTACCCAAGAACTTCAAAGACGTGATGCCGGTTAGCTGCTAGAAAGTTCATCTAACACAACCTCCTATGGTGGTGTCCTCAGACCGTCATGCAAAGATGTATCACATTCAAGCAAAAGATCTGATTTTAATGAGATTGATCAAGATCATGATCAGTCAGGAATCAGCCAATGATATCAAAAGCAACACAGTGATCTATGCAGGCAGAGCATGACACACAATCAGTTCACACATAGTAACCACCTAAACTGGTCTTAGTTGCTTCATAGTCCAACTCCAAAGACAAACACTGAAATTGCACAATGCCTGCCAGTATTAGGGATGGGGCAGATTAGCATCACCTCTTATGCTGTTGTTAATTCTGTGGCTAATTGAGGCAAGTGCTGCCCTGGTAAGCCATTTAGCCCGGCCAACAACAGTTGTGGCTGCTAAACCACCACCTCTATTAACAACAAATGCTAAACACTGACACCCACATCTAACAAAGTCATATGTATGGTTTTACATCGTCTATTCACAAAAGATATCAACCCCAGTTTTAACGCGCCTTGATTTTAGTTTTTATGTTTGATATTTCACAACAATGAGCATGACAAGGAAGATAATTTTATGGATGTCAACTTCTATATTTTTAATAATAAAGAAGTTGACATCCATAAAATTTTCTTCCTTATGTGTATCACTTCTAAATGCCTTTCAAAGACTAAATGTGCATGATGAGAGGGAGACATTTAAAATGGCTACACTTGAGTCTTTCACAAGAACTCTTTTCAGCATCATGGCAGGAACTCGCAAAAACTGGCAGTACCAAACATTACCCTTATGGATGCACATTATTGCAACAATGTTTTGCTTGGCATTTTGCAAACAATTTTCAGTCTTTTCAACAATATGATGCAACAATAATGTTGATGACAAGTCAATGGCTCAAATCAAGGTTTTCTTGTGGGTTTTGATCTCACAATAACTTCAGTACTATATTGCTCATACTACCTTGAAAACCTCTGCCAGTTTTGTAGTGCCCTCGTTCTCGAGCCTATTTCGACCAGATATGAAGACTCGAAGGGCAAGGGGTCTGCCAGCTGCACAACTGCTCTTGTGACAATCAAGAAGGCTGGATGCCAGCATCTGAAGGAAAGAGATGCTACCATATACGACATATACTCTTAAATGGCTTCACTTTACAGACCTGAAATTTTAATTTGACATAAAAATCATATTTCGATCTACATCACTTATAATGATCATGTTTAAAAGAAATTAAACACAAGAAACATTAATGTAGGAATTTCAAACAAAACATTGTTAGATACAGCTAGAATCTATATTAAAATCCATGGTACCAAATAAAGTTCTGTCTTGCAAACAAGCCAATTTACAAACACTTATTCTAACAACTATCCCTATGATCTGTGAACTAGTTTCATTAGTCATATGCAGTGATGACAAGATGATGACTGCTCAACATTTCCTTGACTGCCCAATACACACCTTCCCTCCAGTGATGCCCAGCCCATTGTTGTTGAGGCGGAGCTCCTGCAGTGTGTAACAGCTACTGCTCTTTATGAGGTCCACCAAGCCCTGCACACCATTAGGGCCGAAGGCATTGTCACTCAGGTCTAGCTCCACCAACTGAGCCCCTGCTGATATTATGCCTTCACCCAGGTGTTTCTACACACAGAACAAATACAGTAATAAATGTCAGATCAAAATCAATTTGAATGATCTGCCCCAACACACCTTTGTAAAACCGACCTGTGATGAATGAGGCATGTTTAAAACGAAAAGAAAATTAATCTTATTTTGGTATATCATGGCATTTATCATCATGTTCAGGGTTAGAAACTAACAGCTTTTGTCCACTAGTCCTTGTGATGATAACGTATAGCAAAACCCTTAAAATGGGCCAATTTCTACTAGTGCTTAGGATACCTTTACTATTGGGCAGTTTGGTAAGGACTACAGGACTAGTGCCAATTTCTAACGCTGATGTTCACAACAGAACCTCGGATGTATCAGGTCTAGGTGAATGAGCAGGGGAATACAGGTCAGGGTAGATGGACATATCATTATACAACTGTTAAAATAATCTTTAATACAAACCAGAGCTTTTGGAATTTCAGCCTTTAGCCTCCCTGTAAACATATCACTCCAGCGGGCTCTCTGAAAATATATACAGGTATAATGATGTCATGTCCGCTGACAAAATTGTTCACGTTGACGACTCATTTTATACATTGAAGGAGAAAGTGAACCATGTCACAGAAAACTTAAATTAAAAAAAACATAATCATGTTGACAACAAATATTATTCCAATAATTGTGCCTATTCTTTTGCAGGTTTCAAGTCAGTCAGGATTGATACGAGCACAGAGGTATCATTTTGCCAATAAACAATGGTAAACACCATCAAGTTGTCAGTTGCAACTGTTTACTTAGGACTATGCTGACAGCTACATTAATGCTGACAGCTACATTAACATGTCGAAATGAAAATATTTTGCTGTGTTGTCTAACAAAAGAAAAAAAGAAAAATGTAGTAACTTACATGATAGTATTCATACCCAGGAAAATAACCAAGACAGGCCCAAATAAATACCTGTTAACCAGTCTATTTCACCTGGTTCATAGTGTATTACCATGATTACAATCTTGAGAGCTATGAGGTTTAACTATGATGCTCACCTCAAACTCTGGATGTTTGGCAAGGGCTTTAGATATGACTTCAGCAGCTTCAACACCCATTGTGTTACCCATCATCTGTAATGATGTCATCTGTTGACTCTTCTCAATCGTCTCGACAATCTCCTTGGCTACAAGATAGGAAGCCTGAGTAAAAACCACACTTTTCAACAAGACCTTGGAATTGTATGCTTTTCATTGTTTTAAAATATTGTCCAAAATTTGAAATGATCGAACAAAATAATTAAATTACACTTCAGTACAGCACGCACAATGAACATGATGAATGTTAACATATTTAAAAAATGGTTTTAGCAGTCTTACAGGTAACTCTTCTGGTAATGTTTTCTTCATCATGCTCATCAATGTGTTAAATACGGATTGAAATGCGTGATTAATTACCCTCCCCTAGCTGGTTCCTATTGTTAAGATAATGTATTATAATAGATATCAGACCGACATGCCTATCCAAAAATATGTCCTTTGGCATGTTCAGCTCTCATGGAGACCATTGTGACTTAGAAATATTGGGTGAGTAGAAAAAGAGACACTGGCAGCAGTGCATGGTGTACCTGTTTTCGCATGTTGCAGAAATACATATTCAATGTTCTCTTTCAGTGGAATATAAAGTATAGAAACTTGTATGCAAGTTCTGACTGCAGTCAAGAATGTAGACACTTTAATATTTATCAACTGAATATGCACCAAAGAGGGTTTTGTAACCATGGGCCTAAATACCACAGAATAAACAGTTTAGCACTCAAACATGTTGATAAATGGGTATTTGATAACCTTGTTACTTCTACAGAGCAGTGTCAAATCAACTCAAATAAGAAATTACCACTGTTGCCATGGTCATTTTGTTCGTTTTCACGTGGCTTCTTTTCGTTGCATTGTTATGATGTTGCATAAATCTTCACGTAACCGGTTGTTTATGGTCATTTTTACGCATGAATAGGATTCCAATTCTCTAAAGGAATCTCCAACATCTAATATAATGTTGAGACCATCGTGTGTCAATCTACGTAGCCCTAAGACCAAGTTGTCAAGTCACCAGTGATTATGTTTTGCGTTCTAAATTCATCGAACTTCAGAACCGATTTTGCATTGAAAACTTACCATCTTCGGCTTTGTTTAATTTTAGACCTTTTCCTTTGAAACTGACTTCGTGTAGTGGGGCCACAGTCGTCTGGGCAAGCTGTTTGGTAACATCATCAATTGATGCAGAAGACATTTTTGTAGTGATTGAGTTTCTCACGTTGCCTCGAACCTTGTCTAAATATGGCGGCCTTTTTAAACACAAGTTCCGGAGTGTCGGTTGACTGGGCCCCTGCACTAGCAGCTTCGTCTCAGCTAGCATAAGGCGAGCGTGCGCAACAAAGATAGGGGACCAGACTAGTGCCGGTGGCTCCATGCATCGACGAAAAGTAGCGCATGTGCAGTGAGCAAGGTGTGCGATGCAGACTGAATGAATCATTCATAAAATATATCGAAAGTTTCGTAATGACGTCTTCACTTTGAATAAGTATGAAAATATTAAGCGAGTATTGGAGTAAGAGGTCACATCAGTCCACAGGGGTTACGCAGTTCGTTGTGCGGGGTCGCTCCCCATAGGCGTGTTCGAATCCTATGATCGTAGGTTCAAATCCCAGATTCTCTTTAGTTCTAGGTTTTGTCAGCACCGTACCCCTGTCCCTGGCTTTTAACCAAAGTGGTGAACGTCTAAGACCTGCATCATCTCTGACGTCCCTCCCACATCAAGCTGACATGTCTTGATATAAACGAAATATTGTTCAAAGGCAATGGAAACACCTCACACACACAAGAGCCCACGACAGAGAGTTTGTATTCAAGAATGCACCCATCTTATTCTCCGATTTCTAATTTAGTCGTCACTTCATATGTTAAAAACACAGGGCCACGGATAGCCATACTATACTGACTGTACTGATTATTTTAATGTAATCAGTACAGTCAGTATAGTATGGCTATCCGTGGCCCTGTGGTTAAAAACGTCATCATTCGCGACAATAGTTCTACCGCTCTGTTTTCAAAGTTTTGGTTCAAATGGGTTATAATTCATATACTGGTTGATAATCACCAATAACACCCTAAAAGAACAAAAAAAATATGTAGACATGCATGTATAAACATCAAATATTCTTTATCGTTAACTGTAACTGACTATAGATAGAAGTGTTTAATTTTAATTTTACAAAGTAAACATGAAAATATATACTCGAACCCATTTCATCTTTATTTCGTGCGCCTCCATGGTCTAGATAGAGCGTCTGCCCGGAGAGCCGTAGGTCGGTGGTTCGATCCCATGAACGCGTCACACGAAAACTCATTAAACAGTACTTGTTGCACTGCGCTATGCATTAATGGGATAAAACAAGGACTGGTCGGCTCGGAGTCAATATACTGTGAGTGGAGTATCCAGGGCATGATATCGCACAGTTGGCTAGCCCTATAAAAAGCAGCATTGGCCTGGGCTAGTACCAGCAGTAACACACACGGGCGCGATATAAGTGCAATTATCTTAAAGACGCCGATTTCACCTCACCACATCTTTATTTTTCCAAACCGAAAGCAAATAATCATCCGTATGGATGTTTGTTACACTAACGATTATTAGCGAGTCACAGCGTCTACACGCAGGTACTGATAGTAAATAAACTTCGCGACCCAATCATGCTCAATACTTTATATCTCCACTCTATGGTGATCAAACGTGAATCCCCTGAACTGATCATTCACCACAATAGCCTCGTTCTGAGTTCAACTAGAGCGACACGTCTCTAAAATAGCCGTCCAATCAAATTACACCCATGAACGATAGATATGCTGTGCCAAGTTCCTAACAAAAGAAATGGCAATGGTGACGTCACTTCTCAAACGAAACTTTTCACTTCTTTGGCGAATTGGTCCTGGGTCTTTATCGTAACAGATTAAAGATTGTATACTCAGGATGATCGAGAATAGGACCATTTTCCCGAAACAAGGGAGTTAACTTGTTACAAAAGCGGAAACTGGAATTTTACAGTCAGTTAACTCCCTTGCCTCGGGAAGATGGGTTTGTTTCATGTTGTTTAACGCCGCACTCCAATATTCCAGCTATATGACGGCGGTCTGTAGATAATCGAGTATGGACAAGACAATCCAGTGATTGACATCAATCCACGCATATGGGACACGATAACATGCATCAACCAAGTCAGCGAGCCTGACCACCCGATCTCGTTAGTCGCCCCTTAAGAGAAGCATATTCGCCTTTTACGGCAAGCATGGGTAGATACATGCGTTAATTGTGAACACACCCTCTATTTTTTCTCCTTATACAGTTTTACTATTCATAGTATGTTTTCCAAGAGGGGACCATTTCTAAATTTATTGTTTTACGACACCAGGTCGGCCTCCGTTCTTCAATTTTGAGTTCTTTTTTTTCGTCTTTTTTTAAAAACGTTGTAATACAGTGACGGATGAGAGTTGTCGTCCTTTTTATTTAAAAAGATCGCCCATTGTTAAAAATGAATATAAGGAGGGAGAAAAGAAAGGGGATAAAGTGGACATGTGATGGAAAGTCGGACTGTGTGTAAATACTTGATTAGTGTAATGTGCTGTTGAATTTCGTGCTGTTTTCTCCAAAAATGTATTTTTCAAGATTAGAATTTAATAGTACCTTATTGTTGTTGAGTCATAAGATTAGTCATAGGCAAGTCAATGCAGTTATATCCGGAATTATATATGTATTTTATTTTTGATAAGAATGATATGGTTTACCACAATAGTATCCCTTGGAACTTCAAGCATAAAGTATCTTATGACCAAATGGGTTCCTGTTTTTTTAAAGCATTTTTTTATGGATTTGAACCAGCGTCTATTGGATGTACGGGATGAATAAGAGGAAAAATGGTACATCACACATACTCTATTATCGGTCGAACAAGTCCGTCTCCCAGACCTAACAGCATAAATTAAGAAAAGAAGCCCAACTCAAGTCTAGAATATATATACATAAGGTAACTTTATTCCTGGGTCTAAACGTCAGTCTACGGTCAAACTTAATGGTGATCTTATGCCAACCAAGACAATCATGTCTGTTTCTCTAGATAAAGTTTCCTTTTCTGCTCGCGATAACAACATTAAAAAAAAATCAAAATATTTTGCAGCAAAGCAAATTATATTCCAGCTGAGTGACGCTAGACATGCGCGAATTAAAGTGACTATCTCGGGACGCAGACAACACAAACGATTCTTTGACAGCAGCGACAAGCCATCTTCAATAACAATTTTCCTCACAATAAAGGATGAAAAAATATATTCATGCTCAATGGAATATCTATTACAAGTCTGCATGAAGTCATTGCAAACACTCGGCGTGATGTCTACACAATGCGCATCAGGTCGCAAATGATATACACATGTTCAGCGAAGCGACCAGGATACACGTGGGAAAAGGGCCAATTTACCTACGCTCTGACTCTCATCGTGTCACACAGTGCTAAAATAACAGCTATACAATACTCGACATAGCTTTTATTTGTATGTAAAGTGCGTCACTTCAGGGACATATCGTTTTCACTTCTAAACTATAATCTCTGATTGGCCAGTGTTAACTGTTCTCTCGACGCTTTGATTGGTTAATGAATGTCACGCTTGTATGTGCGGCACGTTTATTTCACGACTGTGAGGTTAAAGCACAGTATTATTTGTTTCATAAAAAAATAAGGTTAATATAGACATTTAGAAGTATTATTCATCTCCACACTGCATATTATATACAAGCTGTTGTCGACAACTGTTGACATTACCATAGAAGACCCATGAAGATCCGGGGTAGAATAGGTCTTCAGCAACCCATGCTTGCCGTAAAAGGCGACTATGCTTGTCGTAAGAGGCGACTAACGGGACTAAGTGTATCATCCGTATGTATAAATTGTGTGAATGTTGATGTTGAATATTGGATTCAGCTACTTGTGCATACATAAATGGCTACAAAACACATACCTTAATAATATTCAAGAATGAATGACGGTCTTAAACGTTTTGACTCGTGGACATATCAGGGCAGAATATGGTTCTTAATTTCTACGATTTTTGCAAGAGCAGGCCATAAAATGAAGGGAATCCTATTCGGTTCCGGCGTCTCCATGGTTACAGAAATGCAAAGAATCTGAGACAAACGTCTTGTTTGGATAGAGCAAATGGGCGAGAGAGTGGTGCAATTCGGCTTATGTATTGAAGTCAGAAATAATACATATATTAAAAATTCCTGATAAATGACGTCGAATCTGGACTAGTCACACCAGTGGTTGATGGGGTGTTAATTTAAGCATAGTCCACCCCACCAATATGGGTTTCGAGTGATTATATTGTGTGACCTTTGCAGCTTGTGTGTCATCGTTTATACCTCGACGGCAGTGTTAGATCTTTGCTCAAGTTATCAATCACTTGCCTGTCGGTCGATACTATTTGTACATGAACCGCAGACCATTGTGATATAGTTGTTTTGCAGATTCCTGCGTAAAACAACATTCACTTGTAAACACTCTGGAGAAGCATGTGCTACTTGCGATACAGATCCGTCGAAATGATAAATCACAGAAATTCGTAGCCTTATGGACAAATAACAAGAACACCCCCCAAACAAACAAGAACCCCCCCCCCCCCCAAAAAAAAATAAATAAAATAAATAAAACCAAACAAAACCAAAAAAACAAAACAAACACACACCCCAAAAAAACAAAACAAAACAAACAAAACAACAACCAAAGAACCAAAACCAAAAAAAACAAAAAAGCAACAACAACAAAAAACAATAACCCCCCCACCAAAAAAAACAAAACAACAACAACAAATATAAAATACTCTTGTAAAGATCCTAGATTCTCATTCCCGGTCATAGGTTTTCACAGTAAGATCACTAATATATTAATACGTACTTAATTTACTTTGCTGAAGCGTAAAGTAAATCATTTTTTTTTTTTTTTTCATAAACATTTTTGCTCAATCTTGACCAAATAGATACATTTACCGTTACATTCTCCCCAAGTTTACTTTCAGTTCCACCTGCATCACGTGACCTGGTGTCGGGTCATGCTGCTAATTATGTGTGCGTGTTTGTATGTACAACAGGTAATAGTTTGCTTGTGCCGGTGTTTGCGTAAGAACTGCGTCGATAAGTGACAGGGGCTGCCCCGCAATGACCCAACAAGACAGATCAATATATCTGAGACATGCGCAGTGCGATCCTACCAGGTGAGGGAGCGAGCGAAAGCCAAGCAAAGCGGCGCGAGTGAGATAGTCTGTCACATTGACACTGTTACCTACAGAGCTATTTGTGTAGTCACCGCCGGTAGCGAGCACACGGGCTTTGGAGCTAATGGATACGAGGGAGCATGGATACAACTAGTCGCGAAGAGGATCCAGGATTGAAATCTCCATTTGACATCGTGTTGAGGGGTGGATACCCGTGGGGGTTTAATCTTAGGGGTGGGGCCAGGGAGAGTACCCCCCTACAAGTTTGTGAGGTGAGTGGACGCTACTCCAAGGGGGGCAGGTCAGCTGATTTGATTAGAGCGCGTGGTGTCGTCTGACAGTTTGCAAGTTGATCAAACTTCTTTTTATGACTAAGTTATGTATGCATAATGTAAATATTTCATATACAGTCATCAAGATTGACTGACACGTATATCTTCAACACACTGACAGTTTGTGAATTAGAAAATATGAACCAAATTTGTATATGTTATAAGATGTATATTTTGGTATTGCAGCAATATTTACTATATTGCCCGAGGAAAACTGACAGCACTTGAGTTAAAGTAAATATAGCATTTCATATACAGTCATCAAGATTGACTGACACGTATATCTTCAACACACTGACAGTTTGTGAATTAGAAAATATGAACCAAATTTGTATATGTTATAAGATGTATATTTTGGTATTGCAGCAATATTTACTATATTGCCCGAGGAAAACTGACAGCACTTGAGTTAAAGTAAATATAGCACTTAACTTTAAGGGAAAGTGATAGTATGCCTAACTTGGGTTGCAAACATATCTTAAAAAGATTGTTTCCCACTTCTACCGGGTAATATGGAATGACTTTTTTGTGCTTGCCTGAAGTCCAACAAGGGTATGGTTTTGCTTCATGGGAACTTATAAACTAATTTAATAATTAATAATGCCTATGTCTGAATTCTACTTCTTTGTAGATTGACATATATCAGTTATTGATCTCACATTTCAGGGATCACAAAGGTGCATTAATATCTCAGTCTGGATTAAAACATTAATATTATATTCAATGAAATTGTCCAACTGTTTTGTCTTAGTGAATTGTTTATTATTTCATATTCTTACCCTAACCAGTTTCAAATGTTATGCTTTTACTATGAGTAAGGGGTTTTGTTCCGAGAATAGATAAAGCTAACACACTTTCTATAACTTCAATAGTACCTAAAATATTCTATTCAACAGTTTCTGGTCTATTGAAGCAACAACTCTACTTGCTAAAAAGAGATTTGTAAAGACGTTTTCAGGGTAAAATGCATGACCTTTGCTGTAGGATTTTATTATTCCGTTTATGGGCCTCTCGTGTTTTATTTGATCCCCCAAGCCCCCCATTGTCATTGGGCTAGAACAGAATGTTCCCGTTTAAACATATTGGCAATGTAAATATGTTTTCGTCTCTGGTTAATTCAGGATTAACATAGCTTGAGGTTTGGAAAAACATAGGCAATACAGTCTATGGTACATGCCTTAACATGGAGTGGTGTATATATGTTGTATTTCCCTTCAAACATACTACCGTATATCGCTGTGTATAAGGCGACCCCACGTATAAGACGACCCCCCTGTACACGCCTTAAAAATCAACCCCAAATCCTATACTCCGTGTATAAGGCGACCGGGAATGAAACACATCACAAGTCTGACTGATATAGAAGCTTTAACGTGCGCTTTCCGACTGTAGCGTATTTCGCACACGGACATCACAAGTTAGTTAGTTAGTTGGTTACTTTGGAGATTTAACGTGCGCTTTCCGACTGATGCATATTTCGCACACATCACAAGTGCGCACACAAACCTTATATATGAAAAAAAAAATATGTGAGATCTTCGACTCCGTGTATAAGACGACCCCCCTTCTTAGCCCCCTCATTTTAGGTACGAAAAACTCGCCTTATACACAGCGATATACGGTAATATGATTATCAGGCTTCACATGACCATATCTCCTAACACAGGATTGAGATTGTAAGAAAAATATAAAAAACCCATGCATTATTAAGAGTTTTGAGCGTGTGATATGTTTATGGCATGGAATTTGACAGATATGTGTTAAGTTATTAAAAGCTTAAATTGTTTAGATAGCTGACTGGAAGGTGAATATCTAGAAAGGGATTTATCTAGACCTTCACAGAGGCAGATTTTTAGCCTCATGTTTGCAGAAAATGTCTTAAAATTCCCAAACTGGAAGTTAAGATTTGCCATGTTGATTAGTCATAACTATTGTTATGATTTTGTATTCACTGATAACAGGACCAATAGAGAAGAGGCGGGATTTCTGTATTGAAGACAACGTTTTAATATCTCTGAATTTTAAGAAATAAAAACTTAGAAAAATCCCATTTTGGCACAAATTAAATGTACACAATTTGCCTTCCAAGGGCACATAATTTGGAATCAGATGGGTCCCTGCGAGGGAATTACCTGAGTACCGTGTATTTCAATACATGTCTGCATTGTGTGTGTCTTCCTTTGAGTACACATATTGTTCATCGCAAGTTAGTTATAGATAATAATGAACAAACATGGATCAGCTGGAAAACATTGACCCTGAGCCATCTTCATGAACATATACAGTAAGTCATGAACACATATACAGTAAGTCATTAAGATATATTCAGTAAAACACGAAATCTATACAGTAAATTATTAAGATATGTGGAGTAAATCATGAACATATATGCAGTAAGTCATGAACATATATGGAGTAAATCATGGACATGTATGTAGTAAATCATGATCATGCATGCAGTAAATCATGAACATGTATGCAGTAAATCATGAACATATAAAGTAAATCAATGAACATAAATGCAGTAAATCATGAACATATATGGAGTAAACAAATGAACGTATATGCAGTAAATAATGAACATATATGCAGTAAATCATCAACATATATGCAGTAAATCATGAACATATATAAAGTAAATCAATGAACATATATGGAGTAAATCAATGAACGTATATGCAGTAAATCATGAACATATATCTAGTGAATTCTTGTTGCTGGTCCTTGGATTCATAGAAAAAACATTATGTAGAGTGTGAAATAATGTGGCTGCTGAACTTTGCTTGGAATTTATGTTGCCAAGAACACTGTGATGATATTGGAGTGTTTACTAAAACATACATTGGGCCTGCATGGTAGCCTAGTGGTTACAGCATTTGCTAATCACAATGAAGACCCAGGTTCAATTCCTACATTGGTAAAATGTATATCTGGTGTCCCTGACTGATCTTGCTGGGAAAACATAATCACCCACTCACAGAAACACACATAATGCTAACAAGGCAATAGTTCATGAGGATCCTGAATTTGGATGTTCCTTGATTCTGTGTGAGTGAGTATGGTTTTTCCCCTGCTTGTAACAATATTCCATCAATATCACAATGGGGGACACCAGAAATGGGCTTCACACATTTTACCCATGTGGGGAATTAAACCCGGGCCTTCAGAGAGATGAGCGACTGCTTTTACCACTAGGCTGCCCCACCGCCCTTGCTTGATTCTGATTTATCAATCAGAGGTATCAAATGACAATAACTACAGTCAAGTCTCTTTAATCCGACACTCGTTAATCCGACACTCGGCTTTATCCGACACAAATGATGGGAACCGATTGATTCAGTGCTATTTAGTCCCGTTAATCCGACATTCTTGCACTCCCACTCCGACACACCTAATTTGCAACGAATTGCCGAAATCACTCATTAATCCGACACAGTGATCAGCGTACTCCGTGGTCATCTGACCGCGAGTACACAACCCCGTGTTTTGACACGCACTGGCTGCAGAGATTAACTTAACAATTAACAGGAAAAGCTATTCAAACCTGTATGTACAAAGCTATACAAATGTAGTTTACAAATTGAAGCCAGATAAATGTGCATGAAGCCAGTTTAAAATACGAACAGGTATATAAAACATGGTCGACTCACCATGGTCGACTGGTATGTAAACAAGAAAGCATGGATGACTTCATTAATATTCAAAGCCTGGCTACTGATCTTGGATCGGAAAATTAGATTGGAGCAACGCCACGTGGTATTGCTGTTGGACAACGCAATATTAATATTTCGTTTTTAATGATTTTATTACAAGGTACACACGGTTATTATCTATCGTGAAGTCGTCCGATTTTCGATCACAAATCACTTAATTTCGTTAATCCGACATACTCGTTAATCCGACACAATCATGTGCAACCAACGATGTCGGATTAACGAGACTTGACTGTACCTCTGGTTGAAACAGCTGATTTGACTCCTTCATCATCGCAGAAGCTAACTTTTGTAGAAAAGTACTTCTTTCTCGGTCATTGTCGGAAGACATTATATAAATATAATAATAAATACAATTACTTGCTAAAGCACTTGGTTCCAACTTAAAAAAAGAGGTATCTAATCTATGGTGAGACTACCTCAAATTTCACAGTAGGATTTAATTGCTAGAGGTGAAACGATACATCGGTGCACTGGTGCATAGTGAGTTTTTATGTGCCGATACAATACATGATACATTTCTGCTGTATCGATACAAGATGATACACCTGCTAAAATACATTACTGCTCGTTTAATGACACCCAGGCGGTTTTGTCAGTCAAAAATTGCAAAATCTGTTGTAATTAAGTTCACTACTAAAAACAGCATTAACGAACATGTGTCTACAGCTAGCTTTTCCTTTTGAACCTGCTCTGAAATATTTATAGTCAAGACATTTCCCGCAATTTGACGTATATATCTATATCGCGATACATATATCGTTTACCTTTGTATCGTGACCTCGCTGTATCGTTTCACCTCTATTAATTGCATGTATGAGTGTTTGTAAAACATGTGAAATATAGAAAAACTTAATCAAATTGAAATTAAAACACCTAATAATACATTTTCATGGTGACCATAAGTCAATTTCTTGAATCTATCCCAAGTCGGCTTCAAATATTCCGCCAGTGCAAGTAGAAAACAATCTCGACAGGGAAAGCTTTTCTGTATTCCAACTGAATGTTTAATTTGGCTGTGTAAATTTGTGTCAAATTAGGAAGTCCTCCTGGCTGCTGCTGTCGTGGGGTGATTAATCATGCTCAGGTGTTGAGTCCTCCCAAGCGAGGGTTAGTCTTCTTAAGTGCACAAACATCTTCGCTTGAAACTAGGGGAGGGGTTTTCCTCCAGTATGACTGAGAATTTCCTAGGAATGTTGTTGAAAATCAACACCTTATTGTTGATAT